ATCCAGGCCGAGCGGAAGTGCTCCCGGTCGGTGCTCCCGAGGGCAGCCTCACTGCCTCCCCTTCCAGGCGGGTCCTCTGCCCCCTGCATGGTGCCTCGTCCGTCTCCGTGCGCAGCAGCTCACGGGACAGAACCCAGAACTCAGAACGCCAGGCCCAGGGCCAAGTCCAGCCCATCTGCGTGTTCAGAGCCTCAGTGCACTTGGGACGAGTCAGGGAGACGGGACGGAGGCCGAGACTCTCCTTTGCCCGGAGACCGTTGCAGCCACAGCCGTGGTGACCTCCCTGCCAGGCTTGCGGCAGCCAAGGTCCTCGCTGCCGGCCCGGGCCCTGGGCCCAGTCCCCCCTGTCTTCCCCACGCCTGGGGCCCGGCCTCTCCAGCGCGCCCACCTCCGCGCCCTGGGAGCCCAGCCGCGTGTCCGAGCGACAGAGCCCTCGGCGCCAGAGGGAAACGAGATGGGAAACCGGGGCTGCCGCGACCCCCCAGCATCCAGGAAGGCACAGGCAGCAGACACTGTGTCTTCCGTGCAAAGCACCCGGGTCCTGGGGCCACCGTGCTGCGCGCGGAGGGCGCGGCCCTGCGACGTCACTGTCCGGGACCGTGGAGCAGCCGTGGGGCTGGCCCTGGTGGCCGGGCCTCTCCTACGGCCTAGTTCCTGTCACGCAGCGGCAGCCCCGGGGACCCAGAAGGCAGAAGGTACAACCTCAGGACCCTTCCAGAAGTGCGTAGACACGGTGGCGGCTTGGATGCCCCGTGTCAGGCCCCAGCTTCGAGAACACCGGGCAGCAGCGAGGGACACACACACACACACACGCACGGCTCGCCTCCCAGGGCCGGGGGGGTTCTCCGGCGAGGTTTTTGTTCCTTTGGGATTCTTCCTAGCATCTGCTTCCTGGTCCTTACTGCAGGGTCACCATGAAGCTAACTAACAAGGGGGAGACTGTGTGGACCTTCACCAACACATTCTTCCTGGCAGAGAACGTTTGGACCCTTCAGAGTTCCAGAACATCCCGTCGTCTCCTGGGACCCTGTGTGGGAGGCTGGCCCAGGCACATTTTGAATTTACCTCAGCGAGCAGCCTCGTGAGCATGCAAGTCTGTGACCCAAAGGGAAGCTATGTTGACCCTTCGGGTCCCACAGGCCGTGGTGGTAGTGGGGTGGCCTGTTATTGAGGCCACTCGACTATTTGTAAGATGTGCAGCGAGCAGCAAAGGGACGCCCCTGCACCTGTCACGGAGCCATCTGTGTAGATTTGCTGCATTTTAAATCCACGTCAGGGAAGGGCATTTTCACCTCACTGCGGTCCCTTATGCATGTAGCAAAAGTTTGGCCAATAGAATCGATATTAATGAAGCGCCTCACAGGGAGTGTAGCCTCCTTCCTTAGCTTCTATACCTAGCACCTCTCACATTAGCATTCGAATCTGGGTGTTACGTTAAAATTTTTTAATGTTTATTATTTTTGAGAGAGAGAGACAGGAGAGAAAGAACATGAGCAGGGGAGGGGCAGAGACAGAGGGAGACACAGAATCCGAAGCAGGCTCCAGGCTCCAAGCTGTCAGCACAGAGCCTGACCCAGGGCTTGAACTCATGAGCTGTGAGATCGTGACCTGAGTCAAAGTCAGGCGCTTAACCGACTGAGCCACCCAGGCGCCCTGGGTGTTTTTGTTAAAAGGAAGATTCTGGTTCAGCATGTATATGTGATATAATATGTATATATATGTATTTCAATATATACAGAATATTATGAACATATATATTATGAACTAAATTATTTCCCCCAAGTTCAAATGTGGAAGCGTGAACCACCCAAAGTAACTGGATTTGAAGACAGGACCTTTAAAGAGGCAACAGAGGCCATAAGAGTGGATCCTAGTCTAATAGGACTGATGACTTTTTAAGAAGAGAGAGAGGGGGGCACCTGGGTGGCCCAGTCGGTTAAGCATCTGACTTTGGCTCACGTCATCATCTCATGGTTTATGAGTTCGAGCCTCACATCGGATTGCTGTCAACACAGAGCCCACTTCGGATCCTCTGCCCCCCTTTCTCTGCCTCTCCCCTACTCATGCACACACACACACACACACACACTCTGTCTCCTAAGAGGGCAGATTCAAGGGGCACATCAAGAGCACTAAGCACATGTCATCCCACATGTTTGGTTTTGTACACCAGGAGGCTCTATTTATTAAAAGGATTCGAGGCTCCTTAGGCGAATGGCCGGTTCCCAGGGAGGAGCCTTATGTAACAGTCAGGGCGGGGCTGAGTCAGAGAATGGCAATGACACTTGGCGGGTGGGGCCGGTCCTTGAGAGCCAGCGGTCCGATGAGCATGGGAAAGCTTTGGATGTGCCCACCCTGTACAGGAGAAAACAGAAGGACCCGGAAGTTGAACGCATTACCTACAATCACACAGTTTACAGATGTCAAAGCTGGAGCCTCCAAGCTGCCCCAGCGTCTCTGCTTACCCCAGGCTCAGGGTGGGGGGCGGGGCGGGGCCTGTGCAGAGCAGACAGGGCACTGAGCCCCGGGAACAGGGACGGGCTCCAGCCGGCGCGGGTCCTGGGACCGGAGGGGAGCTGTCTCCCCTTTCTGGAGCACAGCATCCTCACCTGAACCTGAGGGTAACCAGCACGTCCTGCCCATCATCTCTGGCTTCTCAGCTTTTACTGTAGAACAGTGATGAGGGAGCGTGGGCAAGCTGGGGGCAAAAGCCAGGCTGGTACACGTGGGGGGGGGGGGCAAGTGGAATCTGTGTGGTAGCCCTCGGACACTCCTGGCTCCCCAAGAACAAAGGAAAGGGGTTAAAGTGCTTGCCGTGGTGATGCAGGAAACTAAGGCTAATGAAAAATGAAATTTCCTTACTGCCTGCAGCCCATTGACAAGCCCTTGAAAGGCAGAGTGACCTCCCTCTAGGAGCAAGGCTGCCTCAATGATGACACTTTGCTGGGGGCAAAAGAGAGTGTCCCAACCTCAAGGCTCCTGTAAGTCTACTTCCTTTATCTCAACGGCCCCAAGATCTATGCTTAGGGCCCCGATAACCCTCCGGAGGGTCTCAGGACTACAGACGGGTTCCCTAGCAACAGCTGCCCCTCAAAGTCCTGGAAACCTTGCTTCCAAAATGGCTTAGAGACTTTCTGTCCCTGACCCCCTCCCAGCCCAACGGTATATAATAAGTTACCCCTCACAACCCCAGAGCAGCCCTGCCCACGCGTCCTGTCCCTGTGTTTTAATAAAATCACCTTTTTGCACCAAAGAGGTCTTCAAAGTTCTTTCTTGGCCGTCGGCTTCGGGCCCCGCGAACTCCACCATCACCCCAAAACTTCATCAACAGTAAGCCCCCCACAGTCCCATAACCAGCAATTCTCAACTCACACCTAATCTAGTTTCATCTACGTCCCCACCCTTCCACGCAAGCCCCCAATCTTTCGAAGCAAATTCCAGATGTAATATTGATCTCATCTGTAAGTATGTCTCTGTAGCTCTGGAAGATATTAAACACGCACACTCTTTATTTTCCTCTTAAAAGCTTCCTTCTGGGGGCGCCTGGAGGGTTCAGTTGGTTAAGCCGCCGACATTGGCTCAGGCCATGATCTCACCATTGGTGGGTTTCGTCCCCACATCGGGCTCTGTGCTGACAGCTCAGAGCCTGGAGACTCCTTCGGATTCTATGTCTCCCTCTCTCTCTGCCCCTCACCCTCTTACACTCTGTCTCTCAAAAATAAACATTAAAAAAAAAATTTTTTTTTTTTAAAGTTTCCTTCTGAACATTCTGGTCCCCTTCAACTTCAGAAGGAGGACTCATTCCTCTGTTTTTCCAGGGTTTTGACGGCCAGGTGAGGTTGGGGGCGCAGGGAGGAGCGTGGGACAGACAGAAGGAAAGCCTCGAAGCCTGGCCAAGAGGTTCACGGTCACCGTGGATGCCGGCACTGCATTTTTGTGACTTCTTTTTGCTTCATCGTCCGGACCTGCTTCTGCGATTCTGAGAGCTTGGGAGAACACACTCCGCCCCTTCATTTTCTGCCGCGTCTACCTTAATTACCTTCTTTGATCACAAAATCTATTTTAGCGCCTTAAGAAAAACGTTCCCTCTGAAGTGGTGAAGAGCCGGCCTTCTAGGGGCCTTGAGGGCTAAGACCCTAAGACCGGGGTGGGGGGGGGGAGCGCCCCACACTCAGCTTCGGGAAGCGGTGGGAGGTGAGCGGACCCCGGAGGTTCTGGCCCCTCAGTGCCCTCTCAGGGATGGGCAAAGCCTGTGTCCCCAAGTGAACCGAGGAGGACGCACGCAAACGAAGTTGGGTCCTTCGCCTCTTTTCAAGTTTTCGTCTCTGAAATGCATAGTCCGAAAAACAAAGAAAGGAAGGCACTTGGGCAGTGAAAAATCCCAACACCACGGTCCGTTCCCCCGCGAGGGGGTGCTCGTCCGCCCTCCCGGGATGCGGCCTGTACCCACACGACCCCTGGGAAGGCGGAACTGTCCGGGGTCTCCGGGCGGCTGGGCCACCCCGCGAGCTTAACTCGGGGAAAGTGAATCAGCGGCGCGGAGGGTCCGCGGAGGGCGGGGCAGAGCCACTCCCTCCGGAAGGGGCGGGGGGCCGGGGCGGCGCCGGGGCGCACAGAAGGGGCGGAGCGCACAGAAGGGGTCCGGGCGAGACCCGCAAGAGGTGGACAGCCGGGTCGGGGGTGGTGAGGGGCGCCCCCGGGTGGGACCCGGAGCGGAGATCCGCGGGAAGGAGCGGACCCCGGGCGAGGGTGGACCCGAGTTGGACCTGGGGGCGCGTGGCCAGCCAGGGGCGGGGCAGGGTGAGGGAGGGGGCGGAGATCCCCGCGGAGGCGCGGACCCCGACAGGGCGGACCGCCGACGAGGGTGGACCCGGGGCGGACCTGGGGAGGGGCGGGGCGGACGGGCGGGGCGGGACGGGGCGGAGATCCCCGCGGAGGCGCGGACCCCGACAGGGCGGACCCCGGCGGGACGGCCCAGGGCGAGGGCGTTGGCGCCCGGGGAAGGCGGAAGGCGGCGGCGCGCCGGGAAGCCCAGTGCGGATCCGTCCCTCGCACCCCGTGCCGCGGCCGCCTCCGCCGAGCCCCCGACCCCGCGGCCGGAGCCCCCGGCCCCGCGGGCGCCATGGAGGCGGCGCTGCTGTGGTTCTGCAACTGGAGCACGCTGGGCGTGTGCGCCGCGCTCAAGCTGCCGCAGATCTCCGCGGTGCTGGCGGCGCGCAGCGCGCGGGGCCTCAGCCTCCCCAGTTTGCTTCTGGAGCTGGCGGGGTAAGGCCGGGGCGGCGCGGGCGGCTGCCCTCCCCACTCGCCTCTGCGGCCTGGAGGGCCCGGGGGCTCAGGAGCGCGCCGTGGGTCTAAGCAGGGCCGGGGAGCGGAGCCGGAGCGCCCCGCCGCCGGGGGCCACTTCCCGGGACGGCTCACCTCCCCTGTTTATTCGCCGCTCACCGCACGGACTGCGCATGCCCAGTTTACGGAAGCGTGGCGGGAGGAGACAGACACCCGGCCAAGCTCTCCCGCAGCTGGTTAGCCGCAGCCCTGCCGCGCGGCTTTGAACTTGGCCGTTTGCACCTGGCGGCTCTCACATACACTTCCGCTCTGAGTACCCGCCACCCCCCCCCCGTCGTACCCCTTTTCTCGGGTCTCGGTTTCCTTGCATGTAAAGTGAGGGGCTGGACTATAAATTCGAAGGATCCTGCGCTTTTAAAAGTTACACGTGGGGTGTGGGGATTCCGAGAAGGGGGAGCTCTTTGGAAGGAGAGACTTGAATCGGGCCAGATCCCGCCAGGGAGGAGCCAGTGCCGCTCCGCGAGCGCTTCTGCGTCAGGAGGCCGGCGTGGAGCCCCCGACTCAGTATTTGAGGATGCAAACGCGAAAAGCGGGGTTCTAAAACTCGGTTGGGAAGCCCCGAATGGGTGGGAAAGCGGGGCGCGTGAAAGCCGGCACTCTAAACGCGAGTCCCTGGCAAGGCGGGGCCCCCCCGTCCCCCTTCCGTACCCCCCCCCCCCGGGATATTGTATCACACGGGCAGCACGCGGGCGCGTCCGGCGGCGGCACTCCCGGGGAGCCTCGGCTGGAAAGGAGCCAGGGACAAGGGAGGGAAGGAGACCCGGGGAGTGGGGTGTGGGGGTCCTGCCCTCGCGCGCTCATCTGGGGACAAGCTTTGTCAAGGGAGAATCGGCCGACTGGCGGGTGTGTGACCCGTTTCAGATTTGCAAACGACCCACAGCACTGGGACCCCCAGGCTGGAGAGCGGGGATGGGAGGGGTCTCCAGCACCTCGAAGTGGCCGCCGCGGCTGTTGGGGTGCGGAAGGGATGAGGAGGGCGGAGTGTCCGGGAGGCCAGCAGGCTGCTCATTTTCACTGTTCTGGAACAGGTGTCCCAGGCAGGTTCCGGGAAGGGGAAGCGGGGAGGCAGTGGGCGGGAAGTACGAGGTGGGCACCCCACTTGGGGCCAGGCCGCGCCAGCCAGCCGTTCTGCCTCCACTCCCCCCACGCCGGGCCCGGGCCCTCCGCTGCAGGGGCGCGCCTGCCTCAGCACCTCCGCCGCCCCTCCTTCCAGGCCGGCCGGGCATCCCTGCTGCTCTGCTCCCCTCTGCCCTGCTGGGTTCCAGCCTCAGTTCTGCTCTCGGCACCTGCTCTGGAACCTTCCACGGGTGGGCTTTCAGACTCCTGATTCAGCCCTCGGCCCAGACGCGGCAGCCCGGGCGGTGGTCCCTGCTTCCCCTCCCCAGGCTACTGGTCGCACTGACGTCTGGCTAGTGATTCCCTGGGAAGAGGCTTCAGCGCTGGGCTCTTGAGTTGCTGCCTCGGCGAGCCCGTGTGTCGTTCCTGCTCACACCTCCGGCGTGTACGTGTTGAGGAAGGAAACTTGAGTCACACCAGGAATACGGACACGTTTGTGGGGCCCGCGGGTCAGACACCGTTTGGCTTGATTTTATCGTAAGGAGCTTTCTCACGGATTCTTTTCTAGTGAAAAGAAACCTTAAAAATCAGAGAAGGACACTTACTGCCCCCAGGCCGCAAGAGTGACAGACGGTTGTCCTGGGGACGTTTGCGTCCCCCAGAGAGAGAGCGGCGCCCTGGTATGGGGAACGCGTGTGCCGGCCTTGTCTTTTCCCTGAATTCTCATATGACCTTGGCTTCTTGGGCCTCAGTCTCCCCAAGCGGTCTGTAAAATGTGGAGGACAGGGTGGATGAGCGGGAAGGTGACTCAGCTCTGACGTCCCCAGCGCCTCGTGCCTGTCCTGAAGGTCTCTGGCTGCACTATGTGTGCTGTGGGGGGGGGGGTGCTCAGTGAAGAGCAAGGGGGTGGCGGAGGCCCCCCAACGCCTGCTCGTGTGTTGGGCCCCGCTGGCCGCAGCCCTGCAGTGCAGGGGTGAGTGAGCTGGAGCTGCCCCCTCCGCTGGCCCCCTGAGCTCCCCCTCAGTGGTGAACAGAAAGGGGTTGCTGTGTTCGGGGCGCCTCTGGCCTCCCACCCCGGGACCCTCACCCCTCACCCCCAGCTCAGCCAAGGTTGGAAACAGGATCAGGGACACAGGCTTCCCAGCCCCCCGGGTGCTTTATGGCAAAGCACCCCCTTCCCGACTGAGGCAATGAGAGGGGTTCCGTCTGGATGAGTGATGGAGGCTCTGGGTCACCTGGGGGTGGGGCAGAGGGACTGAGGGGACAGCAGCGGGATGTAGGTTCCTAGGGAACTGACTGGCTGGCCGGGAGCCACAGTGGCAGGAAGCTCAGGCCTTTTCTCCTGACAAGGGTCTGGTCCGGGGTTTTTACCCCACCCCCCACCCCAAATTCCCAGCCTCTCAGAGCTAGAATTTTCTTTTCTTTTCTTTTTTTTTTTTTTTTTTTGAAACTTACTTATTTTGAGAGACAGCAACATTGCGAGTGGTGGAGGGGCAGACAGAGAGGGAGACAGAGGGAATCCCAAGCAGGCTCCGCACTGTCAGCGCAGAGCCCGACGTGGGGCCTGAACTCACAAAACTGAGATCATGACCTGAGCGGAAACCAGGAGACAGACGCCCAACCGGCTGAGCCACCCCGGCGGGCGGCCCTCACAGCTAGAATTTTCTTAAGGAACAGGTGGCTGTTCTTCATGCCTCTCCCCCACTGCTCCTCCCTGATGGGGAGCACTCTGGACAGTGCAGGGGGTCCCCTTCCAAGCGCCCTCTCCGCTCAGGGCTGCGCCCAGACACGCCCCCCCGGGTGTCTGTGTCCTCCCGTGTGGCTTCTAGTGTGCCGCCTTCTGAGGGGCGCCTGGTGCGTGACAGGCCAGCCTGGGGCCAGAAGCCCCGTCTCTTCTCCTGGCCCGCGGCTCGGATCTGTGACACTCCCTCGTCCCCACCATCTCCGGGGACTCGGCAGAGACCGTGTGCCCTGTGCCCAGCGCCCAGTCAGCCCCAGGTGCTCGGAGAGCTACGCACGGTATTCAGTCGCTGTTCCAGGCTCTGTTCTAAATCTCTACCCCCCCCCCGCCCCCCCGACGTTTGCAGGCACCAACCACGGGGCCAGGCGTTTTGCAAACGAACCCTGGCGCCTCGCGCTGGCCGGCCCCCTCCCCGCCGTGCGCTGGGTCCGCCCCGGCTCAGACACCCCCCTCTCTCCCCAGTTTCCTGGTGTTTCTCCGGTACCAGTGTTACTATGAGTACCCGCTGCTGACCTACCTGGAGTACCCCATTCTCATCGCACAAGGTAACGGACCCCTCGGCGCCCCCCACCCCCCCCGGGCAGCGGCCCTTGGGCCCCACCTGCCCCCCTCAGAGCCTCTTCTCTTTCAGATGTTCTCCTCCTGCTGTGCGTCTACCGTTTCAACGGGAACGTGAAGGGAGCGGCCCCGTACGTGGCCGTGTATCCTTTGTTGTCCGGGATCCGGTGGGACCGGGGCCTTAGGTGCTTTACGCTAGATCTGTGTTCCTGCGGTTAAACTAAACAAGATCCCACATGCATGGGAGTGAACAGATTCCCTGCCCGGGGCCTCCCTGCCGAGAGCAGGGCCCCAGCGAGCCACCAACAAGCCGAGCCGGCTGTAGACACGGCTTGCGGAGGGGTGGGAGCACCCTGCTGGGAGCCCCTCTCCCAGCTTCATTCTTTTTTTTTTTTTTTTTAAATTTATTTCTAGGAGAGAGAGAGACAGCGTGAGCAGGGGAGGGTCAGAGAGCGAGGGAGTCACAGACTGAAACAGGCTCCAGGCTCTGAGCTGGCAGTCAGCGCAGAGCCCAACGCGGGGCTCGAACCCACGAGCCGCGAGATCATGACCTAAGCGAAAGTCGGACGCTTAACTGACTGAGCCACCCAGGCGCCCCTCTCCCAGCTTCATTCTTGAGGGGAAGGGAGACGTTTCTTCTTCCCTGAGAATGTCCCCAGAGTATGTGAAGTCAGAATAACGGGAATGTGTGTCATGAACACAAATGCCACTAATGCACCCGGTGAGCTGGCCCGCTACCGCCTGACGGGGGGGGAGTGCGCATTCTGGGCGGCCTGCTCAGAGTGAACGTGAGGTCCAGGACGTTAGAAGGGTGTTGGGTGAGGGCGTGTGGATCTGGACCAGGCTTTTGTGTCAACTCTGTAAAACTTCAGTGGTTCGCTTGTGGACTTCACGTCCCTTCGAAAGCCAGGAAAGCCTCTCCAGTGGCAGCCGGTTAATCCCGCGTGTCCGGAGGCGACCTGAGCGGATTATCGTCGTGCACCTTCGGGGTGGAGCAGAGAGGCAGGGGCCCTTCCTGTCTGTGCCCAGAGCCTTGGGATGTGGGCGCGGAGGCTGGGGCACACCTGCTGCGCCCACCCCCTGGGCGGGCACATGAGCTGCAGGCGTCTGGTCCCTCCCGTCCCGCTGGGGAGTGGCAGAGTCGTGCTGTGTTGTTGCAAAGATCCCAGTACTCGGAGCGCCAGAAAGCGGAGCAAGGGGCGTCATGGCGGCTGCCTGACTGGAAGGCTGTGGGGGACGGGGGGGGGGGGGCTGAGTCCTGTCTGCACCCATCCTTCCCACTCAGCTTCCCTCTGCACAGCTCTGCCCGGCTGGTAAGAGGGTCTTGAAAACAGAGTACTTGGAAGATGAAAAGCATTGTATCATTTGCTTTTTATCTTTATTTAAAAAAATTTTTTTTAATGTTTATTTATTTTTGAGAGACGGAGAGAGACAGAACATGAGCAGGGGAGGGGCAGAGAGTAAGGGAGACACGGAATCCAAAGCGGGTTCCAGGCTCTGAGCCGTCAGCACAGAGCCCGACGTGGGGCTCGAACTCATAAGCTGTGAGATCATGACCTGAGCTGAAGTCGGACGCCTAACCGACTGAGCCACCCAGGCCCCTATTTTTGATGATCTAAAAATTCAAGTTCAACCGGGTGCCCTGTATTTTTATTTGCGAAACGTGGCAACCCTACAGGAAAGTCATCTTAAGGAACTGAGAAGCTGCTACTATTGCTACTACTGGTCAGGTTTTGCAAAATGTGATGTAAAATGTGTATTTGCAATGGATAGTGTAAAACTGGGCAAAATTCGTTTAAGAAAGGAAATTAGAGTGTTTTCAAAACAAGGTTTCATCATCCTAGATTCTAGCTGCCGATCTGGTGTTGAGCCAGTTGCTAGGAAATCAGTTCTGGGCACACCGGGCATGTCTGTTTCGATCCCCTCCGTTTAAATAATATTATTCATTATAATCATAGCCACCTGTTGGGTCCCTATGATGTGCACCAAGGCATTAAGGGGGTAGATGGGACAAGCAGTGTCAGGTTTGCAGGTAAGCAAACCAAGGTCAGAAGAAGGAATGTGACCTAGCCCAAGGTCACGGCAGAGGCTCGCGGCCATCCCCTCACTGGCCTGGCTTCAGTAGCCGGACTTTGCGCTTTTGCCGCTGCTCTGGGCATGACGAGAATCCGCTGTCCTTCCTCCAGGCTCTGCCTGGGCTCACGCTGGGGTTAGCAGGGAAGGGGGAAAGAGTTTCACGTGACACCAATTTTGCAGAATGTGCCTGCTATAATGTTGAGCTTATTTAAATGCTAAACTTTTGACATCACACTGGAGAGGTGTGGGTGGTTGGAGTTAAGTGGGCAGTTAGAATCCTTTAGAACCACAGAGGCAGGGCGCTTGGCCGTTTTCTTCCATATCTGCTGTTATTTTGAGCCATTTTTGTCTTTTCCAAATCAGAGAGTTTCCAGCAGAACCTTCCCAGGTTGGCTTAATGTGTGTAACCGCCGTGGTCTTGGCCTGTCCCCACGGGCGCGGGGTGGGGGGCGGCCGAGCCACTGCTGTCTCCCTTAGCGCTCGGCAGATTTGTGGCCTCATGGTTCATCCTTCCCCTGCAGAAGTGGATCCTGGACGTGGCCATGGTAAGTGCATCGCCCCTTGAGAAGAGAGTGTATGAACTAGTCAGTCTCTACCCACCACTGTCCCTGCGAAGAACTTGATAGGTCAAATGTTTAACCTGCTGATTTCTCAGCTGTACCAAAGGATAAGGGAGTGAAAGCGCAGTCGTATCCACATGTTACAAGATGTTAGTCTCACTTAGGTGTTTGGTAACATTTTCTTGCTTCCTTTTCTTGGGGGCCATAGAGCATGGGGCTGGGGAGGTAGTTACCAGCAATAGAATGAGCAGCAGGGGTAGAATGAGCCTAAAGAGCTCATAATCAGGTTAATGATTACACATTGGCCACATACTCATTATTTTAAAAAATCATTTTAATGTTTTTTTAAAGATTTATTTAAAAAATTTTTTTAATGTTTATTTTTGAGAGAGAGAGAGACAGAGTTTGAGTGGGGGAGGGGCAGGCAGAGAAGGAGACAAAGATTCTGAAGCAGGCTCTAGGCTCTGAGCTGTCAGCACAAAACCCAACATGGGGCTTGAACCCATGAACCACGAGATCATGACCTGAGCCGAAGTCAGATGCTCAACAGACTGACCACCCAGGTGCCCCTAAAATTTATTTATTTTTAATTTTTTTAAATGTTTTATTTATTTTTGAGAGAGAGAGAGAGAGAGACAGCATGAGCAGGGGAGGAGCAGAGAGAGGAGACACAGAATCTGAAGCAGGCTCCAGGCTCTGAGCTGTCAGCACAGAGCCCGACGCAGGGCTTGAACCCCTAAACCATGACGTCATGACCTGAGCCAAAGTTGGACGCTCAACCGACTGAGCCACCCAGATGACCCCATACCCATGATATTTCTAACTCTGTCCCCCTCCCCAAACATTTTGTCCTCCTGGGAAAAGGGTTACCTCTGTGTGTTTGTCCTTCCTTGGGTAAGGCCCCAAATTCCCATGGTGTGAGAATAGGACCCTGAAGGTCAGGAAGCATTTGACCCCAGATCCTCTCTCCGAAGTGACTGGATTCCGCTTTTCCAGCCAACGGGAGAAGGCAGTGCACCAGTCACTGCCTGCTGCACCCAAACTCCTGAACTTCACCCCCAACCCAGCATCTTGTCTGTGACCCTTGCTTGGGAGGTGAACTTGGGTCCATGTTACGTTTCAACCTTGAGACTTGTCGGGAGCAAATAGGTAGGGTTGCCGTCTTAACAACCAAGAACTTTTTAGCATAAGTATGTCCCAAATATTGCACAGCATGTACTTATGCTAAAAATTATTTGTTGTTGATCTGAAATTCAGATTTACCTGGATGTCCCCTATTTTTATCTGCGAAGTCTTTCCGGGTCCTGGTTATGAAAATGACCTTATGATTCTACAGACGGCACTTCCTTCCTCCTGAAGACAGATCGGGTGGAGTATCGGGCAGACTTGGTTAGAGTATCGCGCGGCACTGGCCTCTCCCCCGACAGGAGGGGATGGGGTCCTACCTGAACCCTCGTGCACAGGCTTTCCTGAGGCCCGGTCCTCTGTGCTCACGGTCCCGGCCTGACTCCCCACCGGCCTGAGCCGCTGATGCAGTCTTCCCACCTGGGGTCTGTCCCTGGAGCCCAGTCCTCGGAGCCGCCTGCTCCTGGCATGACCCGTCTTCGGATCTGAGCACAGGCCCTTGCTCCCTGCCTGGAGCGCTCGCTTCGCTTGACTTCGCCACAACCCTCCTGTGTCCCGGTCACCCCTTCCCTCCTCCGTCTCTACCGTGACGTGTTGCTCTAACCCAGAAAGAGCTGCCTGCCCCACGTCAGGTGCGGGGGACCGAGCAGAGCCGGACCCCCCCCCCCTCCCCAGTCATGGAGCTTTCCTCCCGAGGGTCAGAAGTTAAACGAGCTGCTCCGGTCAAGGACACCGGCCACTTGCCTTCGCACTGAAGCCAACGGCGTTGTCGTCTTGGCCTCTCTCGCATCTGCTGCCCCAGATCAGGATTCCTCCTTGGACCACCTGGTTCACTTGGCTCCCGGGGCGCCTCGCCCGTGGCGGCCCCTCCACCTGCTCCTTCCGCACATTTCCGCCCGTCCCCCCTCACCTCCCCGCCTTCTTTACGGAGGGGCCCAGGCCTGCAGCGTGTCCTGAGTGTGACCACCGCCTCTGAGCTACGCGTGCACAGCTCACGGGCCTCCCCCTGGGCTCCTCCGGCAAAGCCGCCCCCCCTGCAGCTTTATAGTCCTCCACCCGCGGCTGCTCGCTTCTTCTCTGTGCACGCAGGGGCATCGCAGCTCGGAGCCGCTCGTCTCTCTGCCTGCCTCCCACTGCCGTCCTCAGCAAATCCGCCCGGCTCCGCTCTCACAGGACGTCCGGGCCGAACACTTCTCCCCTCTGTTCCCACCCTCCTCCCTGCTACAGACGCGGCCGTGGCCTGTGGGCCGAGATCCCAGCTTCCTACTTGCTCCCCTTGACCTCTGCTCCGCCCGGCAGCCGAAGTGGGTGACGTAGAGGCGGGGGCGCCACAGGACTGGGCCCGGGCGGCCAGGAAGGGCGCCGCAGCACCGCAGGGACTGGTGGGAATAGCCAGTTCAGAGCCTGTGTGCCGCGCCTGCTGCTTGGACTCATGAGTCTGTCCGTTCAAAGCAGCTCGGTTTCCCCCAGGCTCCAGAACACCATGTCTGTCTATCATCTGTCTGTCCATCTACCTGTCTACCTATGTGTCTGTCATCTATCCGTCCATCCATCCATCCACCCATCCATCCATCCATCCATCCATCCAACCATCCATCCATCCATCCATCCAACCATCCATCCATCCATCCATCCATCCATCCATCCATCCATCCATCCATCCATCCATCCATCCATCCATCCAACTTATTTATCTGTCTATCCATCCATCCATCCATCCATCCATCCAACCATCCATCCATCCATCCATCCATGTATCCATCTTATCCATCTATTCATCCATCCATCCATCCATTTATCATCTATCCATCCATCACCTATCTATCTGTCTATCTATCATCTATCTATCATCTTTCTGCTTTTATTGGCCAGTGGTTAGATGGATAAGCCTCTGTGGCCGTGCAGCGACCCTTACTCCTGCCTCCACACCGGCTGCACGCCCACCAGTTACCCACTGAACAGTGGGATTGGTGCATTTATAAACCAGCCTCCCGCTGTTGCATGCTTTTCCGCTTAGCCCGGGTTTTGTCCTTGCACAAACTGGTTATGTCTGACTGTTTGGCTTCAAAAGCACTCTCAGTATCTGGCGCCCTTTCTTCTTGAACTGAAGGACTCCTAACTTTCTCATGTTTTACCTGCAAACAGAACCTAAGTACTTTCATCAGCGCGGCCAGCAAGTTTGCTCAGCTCCAGTACCTGTGGAAGACCAGGGACTCGGGGGCCGTGAGCGCCCTCACCTGGAGCCTCGCTGCATACACCTGTGCAAGTAAGAGCCAGACGCTGTGGGCACCCGGCGTCTGCGTTGGTGTCCACCCGTCCCGGTCCCAACAAGCTTTCATCCTTTGCACATAGAACCTCCAAGTGGGTCCATATTTATGATTCTGATGGCACGCAGGCTACTTTCCAGTCTCTGCAAGATCCCTATTCCCGTTGCTTAAAAAAAAAAAAAAAAAAGCGAAACATACCTTTCTCGCAAAATCTGGCTAAACATCAACAATCTTTTTGCTCTTTGAAAAGCATCAATAGGCTGATTATATTGAATCCACTAACGTGTTTTAAAAATATGAATCATTATGATGTAACAGATTACAGAGATGAAAAGCGTACACTGGCTTTTGAGAATGAATGGAATATGCTGTGGGGTTTTCCTGCAGCCGTATTGTCTGGTCCCACGTTCAGAATTTCCACTGTTCGTTTGGATTCTTGCAGGAACCTAAAATACATATATGCCATTTTAGGTAGAAAAACTTTAAACATTCAGAGCTATTGCATTACTTATGTTAGTTTTAGGTATTTGAACTATACTTCATGTTTCTTCCATGTATTAAAGGAACAATTTCTCTATCAGAGGTTTTTGGAAGGGGTCTTTACGTCCAAGTTATGTAAAATTGAGGCTTCTTGGGTTTTACTTTTAGCTTGAAATGTTGATGTGTGTGTGTGTGTGCACGTGCGCGTGCAGTTTCTGGAATTGCTGATTAGATACATTACTTGTTAGTGCCCTAATTTTATCTTCAGGTGATCTTATCATTCAGGGTTGTTTATTAAATTTTCTTGTAGGAAATGTTGGGCACTTATAGCTTCAGAGACCATGTCTTACACTTCCATCTGTTTTGCATGGTGCTATGTGCTTAACAAGTCCTTAAGTACACATTGGATACATGACAAACTGAGGATTGTAACTTTATGGGCAAAAAATAAACTGGCTTTAAAACTAATTTCCTAAATGTGCGACGTGTGAGGCCGAGGGAGAGCTTTGGGTGGGTTCGGGTAGCGCTCTTGAAATCCCAGGCCACGACCCCCCGCACGTGCCTCCTGTGTTCACCAAGGAAAGGGCTGTACCAGAAAAACAACGTGAACTGAACAGTTCTAGTAAGTCCTGTAGGTAAATTATTCCCTTTGCTGGGCCTCAGCTTCCTTTAGCTAGAAAATAACTATAAAAGAAGGGGGTCAAGTTCAGTCATTTAAAAACATTGTTTTTCGTTAGTGGAAGCCTTTATTATTTTTTTCACGTTTATTTATTTTGAGGGACGCCTGGGCGGCTCAGTCGGTTAAGCGTCCGACTCTTGATTTCAGCTCAGGTCATGATCTCGCAGTTTGTGGGTTCAAGCCCTGCATCAGCCTGTCTGCTGACAGCATGGAGCCTGCTTGGGATTCTCTCTCTGCCCCTCCCCTGCTCATTCTCTCTCTAAAATAAATACATAAATAACATAAAAAAAAAATAAAGTTTATTTATTTTGAGAGACAGAGCACAAGAGGCAGAGGGGCAGAGAGAGAGAATCCCAAGCAGGCTCTGTGCTGTCAGTACAGAGCCTGATGAGGGGCTCCAGCTCATGATACCATGAGATCATGACCTGAGCCTAAATCAGGAGTCAAACACTTAACCGACTGAGCCACCCAGACATCCCTGTTGTTAGCCTTTCTTTAGATGAAACCTTACTGGAAGCCCCATATGTATGGGATTTTCAAAACTTGCTCTTTGGGGTGGGGGAGCTGTGGGTGGGCACACACAGTGGGTCCTCAGCTTCTCCCCTGTCCCCTGGGCACCACTGCTTTTGCTCTTAGGAGAGCCCCGAAACCACTGGGCCAGGACGCATGGCCGGATTTGAAAGGTTTTTATAAAATACGGCACTGATTTGCTGTTCTGGACTGCCAAAATCTTTCAGGAACAGTTAGCATCCATTCCTGTACTTGAAATGGAAAGACGTTAGCTGAATACAACATGTCTGAGAAGCAAGGTAACACTGTTGCATATTTTCTCTTACAGCAAGAATAATAACAACTGTAATGACCACCAGCGATGTTACAAGTAAGCGCCATCTTTTTCTTCCCACCTTTTGGGACTGAGTGCCCTTCGTGGCTCCTTCCTTTGTAAACCATCTTAGGGCTTCACAGATCAGCTTGCTCGACGTACAGTTAAGAGGCCACGGCGTGTTCCCGGGCACCGGCCCCCCACTTGCAGAACAGAGCGCCAGGGATCTAGGACCTGCCGCGCAAAGTCATAGATTCCCGTCTTCCTGAAGCTTCCACTCCAGCAGTGGGTGGAGATGGACGGTGCCGTCAGCGCCCATTAGCTACTGAAGAGTCCTGGTTAATGTGCTTTGGAAAAGTAGGACAGGTGGAGCGCCTTATGGGGGAACGTGACCTGAAGGGGAAGAGACGAGACAGGGAGCGGCCCGTGTTAAGGTCGTGAGCAGGGGACGCGTGGCTTAGCCACGGAGATTGAACGGGAGGGCTGGGGTGAGTGTGAGGACGGACTCTATTCAGGTGCCATAATCATGTGATCCCCCCACATCTCTGTGTTTTTAAAGAGATTTTTGTTTTTTTAATTTATTTCTAGGAGAGAGAGAGAGAGAGACAGCGTGAGCAGGGGAGGGTCAGAGAGAGGGAAGAAACAGGCTCCAGGCTCCGAGCTGGCAGTCAGCACAGAGCCCGACGCGGGGCTCGAACCCACGAACCGCGAGATCATGACCTAAGCGAAAGTCGGACGCTCAACCGACTAAGCCACCCAGGGGCCCCCTCTGTGTTTTTAAAGGAGATACTGTGATGGAGGAGAAAATACTTGGGTTGACGTAAAAGGAATCAAGTAATTCCTTAGGCTGTTTTCCCCTCCCAAGCCGAGCATATACGTGTTTGGAAAATGATGAAAACAAACGATGTCACCTGTTCTGTGAAGACTAGAAATATGTCCCTGGCACACAGAGCCTTTAAATAAGCTAATTGTTACTTGAGAAATATGGCTACGGGGTCGTGGGGCACCCCTGTTCCTCTGCAGAGATCGTATCTTTGGCTAAAACACCTTCTGTCAGCTCTGAGAGAAGCACTCAAAGTATTGAGGTCAAAAACATAAACTCGGGTCAAGTGGGGAAAAGGGGAGATGGGTCCCAGTCTTCTCCACAGGACTTGAATTCTCTGTACGGGAAGAATCAAACCGCAGCGAAACAAACCTACATGTTAAAATATTGAAAGACTGAGAATAAAGTTCCCTTCCCCTAGAAATACTTGGAACCAGGGTTGTTGAAAGTTCCCATGATGTGGTGGTGTGAGTCTCGTGTGGCAGGTGGGGGGCGGGGTGCAGTTATTTAGGCTTCTACTTAGAGCGTCAGGGCAGGGATTGTGCTCTAGAACGCGAAAACAGTACTCTTTACTACATGCTTTTTCTTTTGGGTTGATTTCAGTTCTTCTGCGCTTCCTGATCATGCTGGCTTTGAACGTGTGGGTAACCACGACGGTCCTCAACTACAGGAAGACGGCTGTAAAGGCTGAATAACAGATGTGCCGCGCCTCCACAGTGGATTCTAGTAACTAAACCAACGGGGAAAATAAGCCCACGGCTAAATCAAGGTCCCTTATAAATTTCGTCAATTGCTTCAGAAACTTTGAAGCCAAATGTATTTTGGACACGAGCCACTTTAACCCCTGTTTAGAAATGCAGATTTCCTCCCCTCTCCCCCTCGTGAGCTGGAGGCAGGTCTCAGACACCTGCAGGTCAGCAGTCAAGACAGATGCTTTTCAGCTTTCACAATCTTTCAAGAACTAAATCCTTTCCAGAGCACAAATGATCATGAGTGGAGTGGGATTTCACTCAAAGTCAGAAGTGAAATTGTAGTAAATTACTAGGGTCATTTTCTGGGACTTTTTAATATAGATTTAACAGGATGGCCTTCCTGTATCATAAGACACTACACAGCCTCCCGAGGCCATGGTAAGGCTGTCGAGGCAAAAGCAAAAGCGTAACTGGCTCGGGTTCATATCCCACAAAGGAGTCCTGTAACTTCACCCAGTGCCTTTAAGTCCTTCCCCAGGAAAGGTGTGTTGGCTGCTAGCTCTACAGCCGCCGGCTGAGGCAGTCCCAGAGAACTCGGATTCAAGATCATGCTGCCATTTTTAGAAGGGTCACACCTTTGAACAAGAACGTCCACTGAAAATACATGCAGTAAAAGGTATTGCTGGCGTCTGTCCGATTCTTACGTATTTTACTCATTGTATCAGATTCTAAACATGATGTTAGGATTATTGGAGACTGTATTTTAAAGTTTATAAGCTCTAAAATTTAAACTCTTTCCCTTTATAATTGAATGGCTTTGTTATATGTAATAAGTAAATGATGTTTATTAGAAAATGTTTGCGTTTCCTATGTAAGATAAATAAATCATTCTGTAGTTTTAAAAACCATAGTTGTCGTTTTTTAATTTACGGAAGCTCTACACTGAACGTGGAGCTTGAACTCACAACCCTGAGACCGAGTCACATGCTCCACCATCTGGGCCAGCCCGGCGTGCCTCAGTCATCAATTAAAAAAAAAAAAAAATCCAAGTGAATCTTTTCTCATATAGTTATAATCTAACCAGTAGTAATAAATACAAATTCTATGACTTGAGTCCAACATTTAAGTTACTTTTTATTAGAACTTTATCATTGCTTAAAGCTTCTCCTTTAAGAAAATACTATCTTAGGAGCGCCTGGGTGGCCTAGTCAGTTAAGTGTCTGACTCTTGATTTGGCTCAGGTCCTGATCTCACAGTTCATGAGTTCAAGCCCCACATGGGGCTGACAGTGAGGCGCCTCTCTGCCTCACCCCTACACTCTCTCCCCCCCGCTTAAGTAAACTTAAAATACACACACACACACACACACACACACTCTCTCTCTCTCTCTCTCTCTCTGCCTCACCCCTACACTCTTTCTCTCCCCCGCTTAAGAAAACTTAAAACACACACACACACACACACACACACACTCTCTCTCTCTCCAATGAAGAGTTCCCCATTTTTCCCATTCGAGAGAAAAGGGAACATCTGACCTATTCCAGATACCCTACACACATGATATTTAATCCTACAACAATCCTGTAAGTAAAGTCTACACTTTACAAAAGATAGAAACACTGACGCATGGAGTGAATAACCTGTCCCACATCTGGCAGCCAGTAAGCATCCTAAATAAGAACCCACTGATTACCAAAAAAACACTTTCTTGAAAACCACCTCAGCAAAACAGGCATTCTGCGTCTGTCTTTTCCTTATCCGGGACACTCAAATGAGACTGTTAGATTTGCAAGTTGCTGAAAACACCTGGGTGGCTCAGTCGGTTAAGCGTCCCACTTCGGCTCAGGCCATGATCTCACGGTTCGTGGGTTCGAGCCCCACATCGGGCTCTGTGCTGACAGCTCAGAGCTTGCAGCCTGCTTCAGATTCTGTGTCTCCTTCTCTCTGCCCCTCCCCTGCTCATGCTCTCACTCTAGCTCTCAAACAATAAACAAACATTAAAAATAAAAAATAAAAAAAATCAAGTCAGCAGCAGACTCCTTGTTGAAATTCTGTTTTGTATTTTTCCATGGACCAAAGGACACAGCTGAGCATTCACAAGTCTGTAACCTTAGGTATGATTTGTTTTGCTATATACCCTTCTTTTTATATGCATCTTTCAGGGAAGGCAAAAATTTTTCTGGGTACATGTTAGAAGGCTGCAGCATTTCAGGACTATTTCACAGGAAGAGTACGAAAATGCTTAGGTCTTAATCTCTTTTATTTAATTTTTTAATATAAAAAGCAGGCATAAAATACAATTACATTACTACAAAGATGCAACAAAAAATTTTTTTAAAGATCAAGGGGTACGATTTTTGTTCAAAGGGGACAGTTGATCAAATATTTATGATTATCTAAACCATGCAGTTCATAACTTAATACAATTGCAAACAAAACTCATTATTACGGGGAAGGGAATCAGGGACAGGCCCCCCAAGCAGAATCCTCAGCACTGTCATACAGCGCCTCTTTTCAAAGTGCTCTGTGAATCAACTATGGTATCTTCACGCCAGAGGGAAACCGAAGCCTTCTTCCAGGGGAGGAGACGGGATTCAGTAGCAGTGTCGACACAGATCGAGAAACTCAGAAGTTCTGACTCGCTCTCATAGAATATTAAACATGTTATTTAAAGCATGTTTCAATAAAGTAATATAGTGTCTAAGTTTCTCTATTTTACCACCAGAATCCTGCAGGAATAGATTAACAACAGCAGCAAAACTTCTTAAATTGTGGTTTGGCAACCTAGAGTATTTCTTTTTGAGGATCTATAGATAAACTGACACAAAAGATATCCTTCAGAGCCAGATTTGTGACTCCAGCATAGGTTAATTTTAAAAACGCTAATCACCTTATTTTAGATTTCTCGGTATCCTTTAGTTAGCTAAAGGCATTTACACATTTCAGGATAGATAGCATGTTTTAATACTTCTCAAAAACTCACTGTACATTAATTTTTAACAGTAATACCGGCACCAGTTTCCCTTCCACTTCTGTCTCACCATCCCCACTCAACGAAAGTAAAAATCCAACTAAGAAAATCCCAGTATTCACTACTTCTTAGTTCTTAACAGGAGGTATTTATGGCTCTAGGAGAAATCACGTGTGAAGAAATAAGCAACTTTTGGTCTTTCATTCACCTGGGAAGCTTTGGAGCCTCAAGAAAAAGAGAAGCTGGCACAAAATCAGGTTGTTAAACCGAGGCAAGATTATCTTTAATGAGTGCTGGGAAATAAACATTTGGATAGGTGTGTGCATTCATGCATGTTTGTGAAATGAGCAAAAGGGTAAAAAGCAAATTCTTACCCAAGGTCAGGATTTTGATTAAGCGCATTTCCATTAGCTGGAGAAACAACCTTAAAAACCCTTATGTTAAACCATATAATGTGAAGAATCTCCATGGGAGAGATTTTTTTTCCCACCCCTTAGAATACTTTCTTTTCCCCGAAAAACTTCGCATGAAGCTTCCTGGGACGGTTGCAGCGCACCGTGACTCTCCATGTTCTCTAACATGTACAGCATTCAAAATTTAAACTTTCGCCATTGTTACTCAAATATTTCAATTACTCATGTGTAAACTTCAAATTATTTCACCTTAATAAAGTTTATTAAAAATATATATATATATATACTCTCCAATTCAGAATAATATGATAGAACCTCCCATAGTGTAACAAAATCTTTATATAAAATATTAATTCAGTCTCCTTTTAACAAGTCTAATGAATGGAAATATTTATTCTATATAAATTTTATATATTTCTCATTTTTAAATCTTACTTTAAAAAAAAAAAAAAAAAAAAAAAGCTGTGTCCCCAAGCCAGAACTGCAGAACGCCCCTGGAAGGGAAGTGGCATGCGTGTCCGGACTCCGCCCGGGCAGCATGAGCACGCGCAGGCAGTGTGAGACAGTGTGAGAATGACAAGATTCAGTTTTAGTACATCAGGCCGGAGGCCACCTTTCAATTTCCACAACAGTATCTATATTTGGGGGGTCTAACTATTGAAACATTTCTACACTGACCCCAAGGTGGGGGGAGGAGGGGGAGGAAGGGGGTCAATGAAAAATGTCTACTTCCTTCATTGAAATATTAGATGATGTATTTCAATGTCACACCACACTCTGTATGTATATAAAGAGGCTGAGAAAAGACTACATGATTTTTTTTTTTAACTTGATACTTACCGTCGATGCTTACTATAGCAGTAAAAACACATTTTTCTGGGATGAGAAATATCGCAGAAGCGGTCCTGTATAATGTACAACTTTAACATCATTTAAAAAATAAAAATCAATTTAAGAGCCTTTGAGGCTACTTCTTCCCAGTCACCAGTTTTCTTAACCCAATACTGAAATATTGCCATACACAGTTGTGTGTTTGAGGGAGCACATTTAAATATTTAAAATATATCTACAGTATGTCTTAGTTTTCTTTATATTTGATATAATCTTAGAATCTTGAGTGTGAAAATGTAAAAATAGTCACAAATGTCTCTACCAGAAATAAAAACACATCTAGGGTAGCCAGCAAATCCAAAGCAAAGCAAATGTTTCAGACTAATACTGAGGTCTATAAGCAGAGTGGGGTGAGTAATAAACAGAAAAGATGTATTAGTTCCAATACTATCCATTATTGTTTCTATCACTGGTACTTGAGAAAAATTCCGTTATACAATCAGGACAGGCGGACACTGATAACTATCACATGTAAAAATAGTGCACTATTTTTCTTTTGCAAAGCGAATTTGCATCCTAAGAGCTGGTAAACACTTTTTGTTCAAGATACAGAAATAGGTGAGACTTAAAAAAAATTAAATTAAGGCATTCAAAATGGGTAAAGTTGCCTATCATGAAGCATTAGGAAACTGATATAATTAACTTCAAACTGCTTAACCATGATCATGCAGTTTCCATGGGGTATACACACAAGTGATATAAACTCAAACGTTATGGCTTTATACAAGTGCATAGTTGCAACTGCGGTATGTTATGATATCTGATTACTGTGTATAAAAAAATAAATGGGACATCTGAAGAACCCTCTTGCAGTAATACAGTACTATATATATGTGTGTGTGCGCATATATATAGAGACAGAGATTTATATATATATATACACACACACACAGTATAATGGTCACTTCGTAAAGGTGTAGTCTCCATCACTGTAGTGGAATCCATCCCCAGACTCTTCTGGTAAATGTGCTGGTGAAATCTCTCTGTTGAAGCTGAAAAGATGATTTCTTTAAACTTTAACTCTTCTCAATCCTTTTGTGCAATGTAGTGTGAGTGATGCCAAGAGAGCTTTATGAACAACTCTGGAAGGGTTGCATATGATATTCTTGCTCTATTAACCAATCATTGTTGGTTCAGCTTGCTGCTCCAAAGGAGAGCAGAAACTCTCCAGGATTTATCATCTATATTGCAGGGATACAGGGAAATACATGTATGTATGTGTGTGTTTGTGTATCAGTCTCTCAGGAAAATATAGCTTTTTAAGAAATTTTGGGCCATCATATTTCAGTCTTGTTTTAACTGGAAGAATATGACCACCTTGAGTAACGACTGCATTCACAGAAGGCAGCTAGCTGGAAAAAAAGAAAGAACAAAGTTAGCTGATACAGTAAAATAATTTAAGAAATTGTTAAATTCTTTGAAAAGGCATTCCGTTTACAGCATTAAACTATGTCATCTTCCAGCCCCTATACTTTTAACACCTAAATCATACATAAAACATATTTACTATATTACTTTTCTTATTTTTAGATACATGCAATTATATGCTTGTATTTTTCTATATTTTCTACAAACATGACACACAACATTTAATATGGTTAACTGGCTATTCGGGTTAGATAATACATCACTGAGGAAGTCAAGGCAGATTAACTGCTCCCGCCTCATGCAGCTGAACTTTTGGACCAGGTTCTACTGGAGTGTTTGACTCTTAGTCACATTTTTTAAATCTACGAAATGGGAACACACACATCATTAGGGTAAATATATGTAAAAATACTCTGTAAATCTTGGTTGTAAACACCTTCCAACAATACACGACTTAAGTCTATTTTTGCAATGTGCTTATTTGGGTTAAAGACAGATAATACTTCTTTTAAATCCATCCTATCGCGAGGTTCAATTTTCACTCAAATTTCCTTTAGCCACTGTTAACCAAACTATTTTATGTGTTCTACAAGCACAAGAACTTCCACAGCATGTCAGTAGCATTCTTCAGCAAGAATAACATTAACTTTTCAAAAAGCAAACGTTTCACAGCATCACAAAGAAAAGCCAAATCAGAAACAGCTATTTCACAGCACTCATTAGACTCATAAAGTTTTTTACAGTTTCAATTCTTGCAAGTTAGAGAGAAGGAAAGAAGAGGGAAGGAGAAAGGAATCCCATGCTATGTTCACAAACTAATACAGTTGTAGGAACTTGAAATCACTGTAAATTTTATTTGTCTGAATACACCTTCTTTGGAATGGGGGCGGGGGGGGGAAAGGTACCAGGATTGGCTTCTTTTGTTATGCCTACATGTTTTTTCCCTAAGACAGAAAACTAATTCCAACTGTATTGAAAATATGTAGCTAATAAAGATTCTGAACATAGCATTTCACTTTTATAACTTAATGTGGAAATTTCAGTTAGAAACTTTTCTGAAAACTACTTTTCAAATATATTATTAAAAACAACTTAATGAAATTTAAAAACTAGTCAAAACCAATGAAAACCCAAGTGCAAATCACATGCACTACTTGGAAATACTAAGATAACTCATTTTTCATTTTTTGATTTACCCCATTTATTTCTTCAGAAATCAAAAACATCGTCATCATCATCACCACCATCAACATCATCAAATGACCAATCCCAGTCTTTAAATGCCAAATCAAGCAATCTGCAATAGGAGGTTTGCAAATTTACACTCGAACACTCTTTAAAAATGGCAGTTTAACATACTAATTATCTAGAATTCACACTTTGTGCTGTGAGGATTTTAACTCTCTCTTCATCAGTAACAACACAGTCATAATTAAAAGATGGTAGCACACAGGGAACTCTTCTCTTTACATATAAATGTATATAATGTGAGACAGGTATGCTTTCCAGAATACCGGAGAACTGAAGACAGGTACTATTTGGGGATAAGATACAATCTTCTCACCATTGGGCCCAGATGAAGATGTAACCATCCTGATGCTTAGTTCCACTTGAGAACTATGAAAGCCCAACATTCGTCCACACTCCCTTGACAAAAGGACCCAGAGCGTCAGCTCACATTTTTCTAGAATAGTACTACAAGTCCTAGTTGAGAGAGAGGTTAACACTCAGGACACAGCTTTCTTCATTCTAGCAGGACCCTATTTGCTCAATGGGTCACCAAGAGTGGTGCTCTCTGTGAAAAACTATGAACAAGAGAAAAACCACAGGTATACACTAAAACCTTGAGTTGCAAATAAGTTGTTCTGCAAGTATTCTGCAGGATGAGCAAAGATTTCTAATAAATTTTAACTTAATAAACAAGCGATGTCTTACAACACAAGTAGAATGTCACGTGATCACAACTGAGCCAATGGTTCTCTCTCTCTCCCTCCCTTCCCTTCTTCACTCACCCGTGGGATTGTGGGTGATCACCTCCCATGCTTGGATGCTTGGTCACACACCATGGTGTTTGGCAGAAATCAGTGATTTTTCAGAATGTTGGAAGGTGCTCACAACTGGCACTAGTATATTTTTTGTCACTTTTCAAAGCACCTATGGAGGGATGTCTGGGTGGCTCAGGCAGTTAAGTGTCTAACTTCAGCTCATGATCTCACAGTTCCGTTCTTGAGTTTGAGCCCCACATGGGGCTCTCTGTTCTCAGCAAAGAGCCCACTTCAGATCCTATCCCTCTCTCTCTCTGTCCCTCCCCTACTTGCTCTCTCTCAAAAATAAAAACATTAAAAATTTTTAAAACAAAACAAAGCACTTATGGACAGTCCTTTGCTTTTTCATACAAGAGTGAGCTTAGGAAGGCTTTGCTTCATTCTAGGCCAGGCTGCCTGTTGATATAGACCCTTTCCTCTGTTGCTTTATTGCCAGTTTCATTAAATACAGTGTACGGCCAGACTGTGCTATAGTCAATATCCGTGCAAGCTTATAGATGGCTCCCATGCAGAAAAATACTCCATTGAGCAAAGAGACTGCAGTGATTCCGTTAGTGATAGTTAAAGTGTTCATACACAGTAACCCTCCTCTCTCTTGTCTCCCTCACACCAGCCACAGAGGCTTTTAAAGGTAGCTAAGTGCAGGTAAATTTATTTTTCTTTATATTTTGTTTGTTCTTTATTATTTTGTATTATATTACAGTATTGTAATCATTTTCATATGAGTATTTTTGGAATGAATTATTTGTGGAGTTTCCATTATTTCTTACAGGGAAATTTACTTTGATATACAAATGCTTTGGATTACAAGCATGTTTCTGGAACAAATTATGTTCGGAAACCAAGGATTTACTATATAAGCATCATTAGCAACTTATCTTGGCTGAGTAAATGGACTTAGAGCAGGGGTATATGTGGTCTTTTCTTTCCAATCCAATCATCTAATACTGTAATCATCTTTATTTTTAAAAAATAAGTGTAACTTTTTCAATGTTTTAACTGTGATGTTCATGAATCAACTTATGCCAAGGAACTCCTATGGTTCCCAAAGTCTCATCTGAGACTTCAATTTTATTATTTTTTAACTTTCTTTTTAATGTTTTATTTATTTCTGAGAGAGAGAGAGAGAGAGGGGGAGAGAGACAGTGTGAGCAGGGAAGGGTCAGAGAGAGAGAAGACAGAGAATCCAAAATAGGCTCCAGGCTCTGAGCTGTCAGCACAGAGCCCAACACGGGCGGGGCTTGAACTCACGAACCTTGAGATCATGACCTGAGCCAAAGTTGGATGCCCAACCGACTGAGCCACCCAAGCGCCCCTGTGACTTCAATTTTTAAAGTTGGTTTGTAAACTTAATTTATATGATTTACTCAAAACTACTCATAACACAGGTTCACAGGCATCATCCCAAGAGATTCTGATATAATTGGACCACAGGGGTAGTGTGGCCTAAGTATCTGCATTTTTAAATAATAAATCTGAAATGAATTCTGATGCGGCTAGATGACTTTGGTAATCACCGACAGAGTGTGTAGATGGATGGTTACCCTAATTTAAAAGTAAACAAACCCATTCAAATTACTCTGTTTCAAAATGTGCTGACTACAGAACAATATGAAAGAAAACACACAAGTATACATATAATTATTCACTTAAACACATATCACATTTTTCTAGGCTTTCACAGACAGTAACTTGTAGCTAAGGTACTGCTTGGGAGAGAGAGATCAGGGGGCCTTCCGAATCAAGCCCCAGCTTTGAAAAATCTGCATTTCGTATCCTTCCGAAACCTTTGAAGTGTGTGTGAAGTGTGCACCTGTGTCTTCAAATTTTAAAAGTCTGGCCACTAGGCTGTTAGCACAATGTCTGGCAAGACTTCCCTTATAGCCCACCCCCCCTTCCTTCGAATTCTTGTCATTTCACCTTAAGAAAGCTTTCTCTAACTTGGTTTCTTCCCTCCACTGTCACTGTCAGTACCTTAGTGAAGGAGCTCATTAAAGTCAACACATACCAATCTCTTGCCAAAAGACTTCTATCTGAAGAACAAATAAGAACTCTTCCAGCACAGTGTACCCGCCCTTTTCAATCTGGCTCAACGCGTTCTCCGCAGTGTCAGCTTCCACTCCCTGTCATTCCCTTGCCCTATCCTGACGCAGCACATGGTAAACATGTAACACGTGAGTGATTCTGACAACTCAGCACCTCTACGTGTCAACGTTCTGCCTGCCATTGTCTTTTCCCTTATTACTTTGTGTGGAAAATTACTCCTCTTCCCTTTCTGGAGATCTTTCTTGATACCCTCAGGCAGAATTCTCCATGCTTTCTTTGTTCCCCTCTAACACTCACTCATGCTTCTACTACAAATAACATTTTAAATAGTACTGTAACTATCTGTTTGATTTTCTACCACCTCCATTTAATTGAGCAGTAGGTATATACTTCAGGTCCAAGAAACTTATTGCCAAAGACTGCTTTGGAAAGGGAGCATTATGACGCTGAGTTCTGCTAGAAGCACACTAGAGTGCCCATTTCTTTACATCTTGCCAATACTATGTTTCTTAATCCTTACCAGTTTGGCAGGTGAAAATGGGTTTTACATTTTAGTTTTAAGCTAACTTCTTTGCTTAATAATCAAGTTGATCTCTTTCTCATATTTATAGTAATGCCTGCATCCGCATGTCCCTCACTAATGTTCATAATGGGAAGAGGCCATCTTCTTTTTCTTAATGACTTACGTTAAGGACTCTGTATACAAAGATACTAACCCATCTTTCTTTAATACGTACTGCAAATATACGTGGTATTTTTAAAACTTACAAGGTTGTAGCTTTTGATCACTCAATCTCTAACTTTCTTTGTTTTTACTTTTAGGAAATTCTCCAATCTAAGATCAGATACATATTCCCCTATTTTCTTCTACTTCATTGAATGGATTTGTTTTTGATACTTCAAGTTGTATATAGTTTTTCATTTTTTCCTAAGTAAGCAGTCTGTTAGCTTCTAATATTTATAAATGGGAAAGAACAAACCTAAGTAATGATGACATGAGAGCCCCCCCGACACGTCCACTTTAACAGGGTCAGCAATGCTTTATTTCTTAAAGCTGGCAAACGAGCATTTGTTGCATTTTTGCTTTATACTTTTCTGTGTGTCTTAAATATTGCCTTTTGAAAGGAGACCTTTAAGAGGAAAATAATTAAAGTGAAATGCCCTCCACAGAGACCAGCATTCTATGTCCTGCTTTAGAACAAACTAAGGATCTCTCCAACTATCTTTATCATAAATCAGTATTTTATTCACAAATTTACTACTTTTCTAGCATAGCTTTTTTTTTTTAATTCAAACTTATCAAGCAAGCATTCCTCTGGAATAGCATTTCCATACACTATGTTTTATAAACTGTCTATCTTCTCACTGTGGGGCAACGTGGTAACACAGCTGAGGACGTGGGATCGGGAACCAGACTCTCTGGATCTGAACCCACAGCTTTGCTGCTGCTGAGACGCGTGACGGCAGGCACGCAGCACTCTGTGCCTTAGCCTCCACATCTGGCAAATGGACCTGAGCAGCTACATCACAGGCCGGTTATAAGGATAAATAAATTCTATAGTTAAAACTCACAGAAGAGTGCCTGACATGTAATATGCCCTCAAAAATAGGACTTTACCTAATAGTAGCTAACACTTACTTAACCATCAACTTAAAATACTTCACTACAAAGAAAGGGAAGCGCTACAAAGATAGTTGAGAATCAGAACCAGGAATGTCACAAAAGGCAAAAGAATAAAATGTAATGGTGTAGTTATTTACAAAGACAAACACTGAGGAAAAGTTAAAAAAAAAAAAAAGATTAGATGAATATTTATGGCCACGGTGTTTTAGTGTACACATAAACACGTACGTACACATAAACACATACATATGCATATGATGATGTCTAACAAAGCCAAACATTTAAAAAAGGCACCGTGCAAATTAGTTCAGTAAAGCTCGGCTGGCACAAACAAAGAGCTAGAAATGACAACACAGAAGTGCAGCTCCTAGATGTTTCGGAATGATCCTTTAACAAGTCTACCCTTTTGTCTATAGGAATGTTACAAACTAGCAGAATGTCAAAAGCCCCAAGTCCCATGCTTGCCTCCCCCCACCCCTACCCCAAAGCCGTGCTGCTCACCGTCAGACCACAGACACATAACAGACTGAGGAGGGTGCTCTTCCACAGAGTCACTAAGCAGTGGCCTAAGTCAGGTACTTAACAGTGGTGACAGGCACTTACTATTCTAGAGCAAGCTAGGTCTTCCAATTTTGGAAATCTATGCCTGCCTGATACACTTCCCTTGCTGAGTGACAAATATGCCTCTTTGGTTCTTGTTCTAATACATCATCCACAGAAAAGTCTGTTAAATCTTTACTGCAATTTATCATCTCCCATCCTTCCAAAGCATTTCTTCAGAAGATTAAATATCCTTAGTTCTTAGGGTGTCTGGGTGGCTCAGTCAGTAGAGCATCTGACTCTTGATTTTGGGTCAGGTCATGATCTGGCAGTTATAAGATCAAGCTCCCCACGTTAGGCATGGAGCCTACTGAAATTTCTCTCTCTCTCTCTCTCTCTCTCTCTCTCTCTCTCTCCCCCTCCCTACCCCCCACCTCTTCCACTTGTATGTGCACACTCACTCTAAAAAAAAAAACCTTAGTTCCTTCACTGGTTACATCTGTAACACTTTCCAATGACCCACCAAACTACTACCTCAGTCACTATCTTCTGTACGCCCTCCAGGCTGCCTACGCTACTCTTAAAATGGGACACCCAAGATGAATGGAAACTGCAGGGTGATTCATGTAAGACAGACACAGAAACGATCTTGTGAGTTAATGAAGCGAGAGAGGCACCGGGTTAAAGGCCAAGGAAATAGTGCCGCAGGTGCATAACAAAGCACAAAACTGCGCCCATCTCTATGCTTAAAGCTCCAAAGAGCCTATTAGATAAAAAATGTTCACAAAAATACCCTAGGCATTTTATGGCCAGCTTTGATATTAGTTGTATCTACATGCATAACTGTGAGAGAAAGTAAGCCCTATTACTTACTGTTGCTATGCAAAATGTATTAAAAAATCAATGAAGAATGATTCGAAGGGCAGGGCCAGAACTAAAATAAAACAAAAAGCAACAAAAATAAAAAGTAAATGTGCCTCCAATGGACCAAATGCTGAACTGGGGGAAGGGGATGACAAAGAAAGTATTTACAAGTAGGTGAACACGAAAACTGCTATGTAATCGAAAATATGCCCCACTTGGTCTGAAAACTGCTTCATAAACAAATTCTATGTGTTATCTCACAAGTAGTGAAATCATTAACTTGTCAAATCACACAAAAGAGTAAAGTGTATCAAAAGGACTGGAGTTCTTACTGTCCTGATTCTGAAATTATCTGCCCTCTATTCTACGCCACAGGAACATTTTAAAGGTCCGGTGACAGAATATACGTAAAGATGAATGAGAGAAGAGATTATGGAAGCACTCTGCAAGCTGTAAAGCATGAGATATTATAAGCTATTGAAAGAGCATAGCATCTATGCATTGATAGTTCAGTATTAATAACAAATTTAATTTTTAGATGCTTTGCACATGGCACATGGAAGAACCTTCAGTGTCTCTTAATTTTCTTCAGTTTAATTACTATCATAAGTAAATTTAGCGGTGGTTTCACCGCTAAAGCACCAATTCCACCTTGAGACACTAGTTTCAAGAACGGTTTCACACAAGATGTCTGTGGTTAGAAGGGAAAGGTCTCTGATGACACAGTCAGCGCACATCACTGCTCATGCACTGAAGGCCCTGTGCTCCGGAACCAAAAGGATGCCCAAAATTGGATACCTGACCTCAGTGCATACTTTATTCTTTACCAACCAAATCTTCACCTTCATTTCAATGAACAGTTATATTTACAAATGCCGTAGTAGCTGGTAAGCCAAGAGGTGGCTTTATTCTAAATCAAGAATTAAATTACTACAGTGTCACCATATGTGTAAATGGTTCCATCAAAATGTCTTGTGCATTCATCATCATTCCCTCTGGATTTACTCCCAAGTCCCAACCCTGCCTCAAAGAGAAGGCATGCCCATTTTACCCACTGGTTAATATCTGCATTTTTAAGGTTGATCTCTATTGCTCTTTAAATGAGAAACAAGTTATTCTAAATTTATAGATGTAAAATTAAGACTTAAGAAAGATTTCGATCCTGCCTCCCAAGCTATCTAACATAAAAGAGGTTTGCAATAGTAAACAAAATGTGTGTACCTGACATTTATGTGTCTGTTACATCCTGTCTACTAAATTACTGAATTAGCCAGAATACTTATAAAATCTCAAAATATTATGATTAGATACATAAACATGACAAAAACAAGCCCTTTATCTTGGGTTGACTTTAATATGTGCGTGATTTAGTAAACAACTCTGTATTACATTTAACTGAATCAACGAATGAGACATATACACTAAAATAGTTTCCAACATTTGGCAGTCTACAGTTCATTAAAATACCAAGCAAAGGTACCCTTCAATTAGGAAAATTTGTAGTTGAACATAAATAGTGAAATATTAAAAAAGACATTGTAATTTTTAATCATATTGTTATTCATTACCTTGGTTTGTTTGGGGCAAGCTGTCGACTTGGCCGCCTAATAGACTGGTTTTGCTGTATCTTCATTGAAGTTCTAGGAGATGACCGTGCAAAAGGGTCTGGAGCTGGAGGCTTTTTAGGTATCTTTTTCACCAACCGACTAACCCACTTTTGCTGCTCTTCTGTAGAATTTGCTAATAACAACAGATTCTTTGCCGTTGAAATATCATAATAAACTATAAAGAAATATTTGGAAAATATTAATGTGTTTAAGTTGATCTGAATGTAAACGATATTGATGGGGCAAGTAGTTTACTATTTACCTTTGCAAGGTGCTATGATCTCCTCCTTTTTGTCCATGTGATCTTTATGACATTTAATATGGCAGCGACGGCACTCTAATGCAGGAGGGGGTTTAAACATATGCCACAATGGCTTCATACAAGCCTCACAGTTGGTTGGGAAATGATAGAGGGTAGGAATAAATTCATGTCCCTTATGGCAAATATAATTTGATTTTTCTCCCACTGGCTCCACTGGAAATTCTTGTTCCTTCTTACTTTCTCCTTCATTGGCATACAGAATCTATAAATAGCAAAAAGAATAATGAATGATATCCAAACAGTTTTATGTAGTAATTTTTACAGTGTAAATAAAATAAAATTACCCTAAATTATTCAATGACAAGAAAATGACATTCAAATATTACTAGATTCTGTCTAATCAAAAGCTTATATGAGAAAAGCCATTAGACAGTCACCTGGTTCACATTTCAGAAAAAAAAATCTATCTTGTTCAAATGTGCCTCCTTATTTTATCCAGGAGATCTTACTATGTTTTAGCAATTTTATCAGAACAGGCCAAAAGGTGAATTTTCACTTGATGGGTGTTAGAAAGTTTTTCTGGGAGGGAGTGTTCAAGTCAGTCCCCTGACGGGATGTGGCAATTATACAAACTGATGCTCTGGTTCTCAAAAATGGACAGCTGGGTGATAACTGCAAACACAACCCTAATGGGAAGATTTGTATTTGGACAGCTGAGGAAGAAAAGAGGAAAGGATGTGTAATACACTCCAAATAAACATTATAAGCATCCAGGAAATAAGTGGCCACCTCTCCCGCAGTACCCCAAGCACAACGGTTTTTGTACAGAAGGAACTCAGTGACTGCTGGTTTGACTAATTTTAAAATGGAACTAGAGCAGGGAAACGTGGCTTCACTTTAAGTTGGAAGTAAAAGGGCTACTGGGTGCAAAGTTTACCTTCATAAGCAACTTTTTTAACTTTCTAGAGAGCTGAGCATAAAATCAGAAACAGAAGAGAAAGCATATGGTTTAAAAATGTCATAATGAGGGGAGCCTGGGTGGCTCAGTCGGTTGGGCAGCTGACTTCAGCTCAGGTCATGATCTCACGGTTCGTGGGTTCAAGGCCCATGTCGGGCTCTGTGCTGACAGCTCAGAGCCTGGAGCCTGTTTTAGATTCTGTGTCTCCTTCTCTCTCTGACCCTCCCCTGCTCACGCTGTCTCCCTCTCAGAAATAAGTAAAACATTAAAAAAAATAAAAATAAAAATGTCATAACGAGGGGCGCCTGGGTGGCTCAGCCGGCTGAGTGTCCGACTTTGGCTCAGGTCATGATCTCCCGGTTTGTGAGTTCAAGCCTCATATCAGGCTCTAAGATGCTGATATCTCAGAACCTGGAGCCTGCATCATTCAGACTCTGTGTGTGTGTCTCTCTCTCTGCCCCTCCCCCACTCACACTCTGTCTTTCTCACTCTCAAATAAACATTAAGAAAAATTTAAAAAAATAAAAATGTCACAATGAACCTTGAACAAAAGGAAAGCAAAGGCGAGAAACAGGATGTAAAAATACTACAGACTTTATCAAATAAGATGGAGAGGAATAAAGATGTATCCAAACAGAATAAGCATGAAAGACACAGAAGGCTGTTTACCTGAAATATCCTTGGAATTTCTTTAGCATCTGCTCTATATACATCTGTTTGTGTAACTGGTCGGACATGAAATAATTTGCTACAAAAGATTTTTAATAAAGGAATAAAATATTACTAAAGGATCAAATTACATTAGTTATCCTACACTTCTGTTGTAAGTTAAAAAGGACTACTGTGACCCATGTTAGAAGGTCAGAGGATACCTTGGTTCTATTAATGCAATCGCTCCTTGAGATTTTGAGTGTTTCCAGGAAATCAGAAATTTTCTAATTGGTTTCAGGAAACAACATATGTTTTAGCTAACTCTATATACCAGACTTTCATCTTTACGAAGCAAATATAAGAAAATGTAACAACAGTACTGTAGGGCTATACGATCTCCATGTATCTGTATATAAATAGCGCTACTTGACAAAAAAGGTCACATTTCTCTTCTACTTTCAAAGTGGAAGTTTCTAAAGATTCTAATAAAAACACTTACTCTATATCTAAAACCATGTAAGGATTAGATTGTTCTTTATCTTGTTCGCTGTCATAGAAAAGAATCTTCTTACTGCTCACAATCACATACTGTTAAAGAGAGGGAGGGAATTAATGACTGAAGTTAATATATACCTCATTTATTTTTTTATTCTCTTTAAAAACAAATTCTACACCAACAAAAATCATTTAATACCTAAGTTAAATAACTAAACAGTTCTCATTATATCCTAAAAAAAGTCTTCTTTAAAATAACAACAAATGTATAGTTTGCATATATCTTAAATAAGCAAATTGGGGAGGATACTAATTAAAGTATTCTTTAGATTTAGCTTCAAAATCCAGGGGTGCCTCAGTGGCTCAGTTGGTTAAGTGTCCGACTTCAGCTCAGGTCATGATCTCACGGTTAGTGGGTTCGAGCCCGGCGTCGGGGTCTGTGCTGACAGGTAGCTCAGAGCCTGGAGCCTGCTTCAGATTTTGTCTCCCTCTCTCTGTGACCCTCCCCTGCTCACGGTCTCTCTCTTTCTCTCTCAGTAATAAATAAAAAACATTTTAAAAATTAAAAAAAAAAAAATCCAGTAACACAGATAGCCTTGTTGCTATGGTTTCAATGTTTGTGTTCCCCCAAATTTTTATGTTAAACCCTAACACCTACTGGAGGGGGCTCTGGAGGTGAATAGGCCATAAGAGCAAAGCCCTCATGCATGGGATTAGTGCCCTTACAAAAGGGGCTCCAGAGAGATCCCTAGCCCCTTCCACCATGTGAGAACCCTGCAAGAAGTCTGCACCTGGAAGAGGGCCTTTACCAGAACCCAACCATCTGGCGTCCTGATCTGGAGACTTGAAGCCCCCCAGAACTGTGAAAACATAAAAGTTCTATTGTTCACACACTACCCAGCCTATTTTGTTACAGCAGCCTGAATAGACTAAGATATTTATTAGAAATGAACATCATAAGATCAATAAATAGGTCTTTCTATCATACACAGTTGTTTTCCCATTGAAATAGCAAACCACCAAAGTCAATAGGCTTCTGGTTTCCTAACATCAAAACCTGTTTTATTCTTAACAACACATTAATAATGAAAGGTTTTATTCACAAAGATACATAAAATCACATCATTCCAAATCAAAGTCCAAAGTTTTATGTGTCTAAACGTTCTAATTATATATATCTTACAACTACAAAGTAAAATGGTTACAGCCAAACCAAAAGCAAAATAAAAGAAGCATATTCAAAAGTACCAATCACCTTTTTAACCCATCCAAATTTCTTAGTGTTGTTTCGCACAGGTAATGAAAGCCATCCTTCCAGTCTTGATTCTGGAAATAAGCACAAAATAGGAGAATAAATATAATAATTCTCCTAAGAAAATGAGAACTATAACAACATTTTAATAGAAAGGTTACAGAATAAATCAAATATGCCCCTCAGAATTTATCACTGTTTCATCATTATCCAGGGTATAATAATAATGCAGGATCAGTATAAGCAAGTTATGGAACACAAAACAAAATCAAGGTTATACCACATTGGAAATACATATGCTATAGTTTATAAAGTCAAATGCCCCTTGCTGATTAAACTCATGCATCTGCAAAGTTCAGCAGAAAAGCTGCAAAACAAGAGAAGCAGTTCTCTATTCTCACTGATACAACTATATTAGAATTCTTTATTCTTCCTTCGGAAGAAGGCCTACTTATGGATTTACTGCATATATCTTCTTCAAAGAGAAAACCTTTTAAGTTAGAAATTACATGTTTAGAGAAAATGGATTTTTAAAATGGCTAAAATGAGATGAAATAAAGTTGTGCAAATTACAGAGCAATATAACCAAAAGATTTCTAAATTCCAAAACCGCAAAATTGGTAAAATTCTAGTTCAACAAAGGAAACTGCCTGAATCCTTAGAATCTGTTCCAATGGCATTTGATCAGTATCATTTACTGAAATAACTAAGGGCAAACAAGCGTTTCTGGAGGTTATTCTAATAATCACTTACTGAGCTGTGTTAGGTACGTCCATAGACTTTCTTTAATTCTTGCAACCCCACAGGCGGCCGCGCCAGGGCGCCGCTCTGCCCGCTCTGCCCGCTCTGCCCCCAGCCCCTGCGGGCGCTCTCTTACATCAGCCACCTGCAGACTCTGCGGCAGGAGTGCTGTCAGGCTTCAGGTCCTGGGAGTGCCGCTCTCTGCCCTCCCCCTGCTCACTCTCTCTCCCTCTCCAAAACAAACAAACAAACAAACATTCATAAAAACAGCCCATATAATGTTAACTGTCTGGATGTGGTCTTATGCCAACTTAAGGGACTAAATCAGATGATCTCTAACAATCTGAGCAAGACTGAATTTTACTGCTAAAATCTAAGACTTCAATACAATTACTTTTATGATTTATTCTGCTTTATACCTGGGAAATGTGGCAACAATGTAAAAAACTATGGCTATTTCACTTTGCATTCAATTAGTAAGAGATTAAATTTTACCTCCTATTTAGCTGCTCCTACACTAATTTTGTGGGGCATTTACATTAAACATGGTTTTGTACTTATACTAACTTTGTGTTAAACATAGTGATTTTATGTTTTCCCTCTGATTTCTTCATTTAAACTCTAAGTGCCTTCAGGGCCGAGACTGAGTTGAACTGTCTTTTAAGGCTTAACACGATGTTCACTAGCTAAGCGCTCCATGAAAGCCTAAATACATCTTCTCAAACAGTCTGTGTCTTTTTTTGTACTGTCACTCTTGATATGAAACTTCAGAGAGAATTTCTTGTTGGTGGAAAATGGATGAAACCATATGCTCTTTAAGGATATAAAGTTGACAAAATAAGTCTGTCAAATATAATAGCAATGCCATGTGACAATACCTTCAAAACTCCTTTGTTCATGCAGCACTTTCTTTTTAACGGAGGCCAGAGGAATTTGTTAGAGTTAGTGAATAGTTAGTTAATGTTAGGAAAATTTTGCAAAAGGTCTGAAATTAAGGGGAGGGTGAAAAACCCCAAAGGTGAGAAAGATTTTCAGGGTATCACCTGTACCGTTAGGTTCCGATGAAATAGGTAAGTAAGGCAAAGATTCTTCTTCTGAGTCAGAATCAGAGTCAAGAAGCATATGAGAGCTGGAAGGCTTAGTGGCAATATTGAGAGAAGTAGAGGAACGTTGGTAGGTGAATGACATGGATTCCATAGTGCGTGACTGAGAGATATGAACTAAACATCCGACATGAAAGTAAGAATGCAGAAAGAAGTTAAGAGAAAATAAAATGAAAACTTGAAAAGAGAGCTTCCCATAATATATAAAGAACTAATTTAAATAACTAAATACGTGGAATTTTCTTTTGCATTTTCTCACAAAAATGTTTGTCAAAAATCAAGAAACACTGTAAATTTAAACTGTCATTTGAATCCCCCCTCCAAGGAGGTTTTTCTTAAAGAAATGACAAACATTTTTCTCAGGAGCAGGTCAATCACAAGGCTTAAAACAATCAACTGCTTTATATTTAAGGCAACGTCTTTTAATAAAATAACCTAAGAGCTGAAAAGAAATCCGTACCTGGGAAGCCATCATCTGCCTCAGCATCCCCTGGCCCACTGCCTATACTGGAACTATCCAGACCAATATGCAAGGCCTGGAGCTGTGACCGCAGCTGCTCAATGTCACTATCTTTACTGTCCAGTGTCATCTGCAGTTCAATTCGAATCTGGCTCTCTTCAGCTATTTGCTATAAGAAATAAAATTACATCAAATTAATTTGATGCCATATACCTCATAATTTTGCTTCTTAATTCAATAACAATTATGAAGTAACAATTATATCCTATAACCAATAAAATATATGCAGACATGAAAATAAGTCTACTTCTTAAAAAGAAGTCTTCAATCTAGAGTTCAAAAAGTATTCTTACAGCTTGCATTTCATTCAGTTCTTTCTGATACTTGATCATCTGCTGGGTCAACTTTTCACGTTCAGATTTAAGCTCCATATGTAGCTTTCTATTCTCTTTCTCTTTTCTCCGCACATCAGTGTCACTACCACGCTTGACAGGTTCTTTTCGATTCATGATCTCGGCCAACTTGTTCACAGCCTTATAAAAACACAAACATAAGTAAGTAATCAAATAAAATACGTTGATGGTTCTTGGTAACTTACCAAAGCAAGTTGCAGGACCACTAATAATCCCCTTCCCTACACATACAGGGTGACAGAAACACTGTCTACATTAAGTAATATACCCTCCATTGCTCACTACTCTTCTCCAACCTACATTTGTTTTTCACTCTCATGTTTTCTGAAAACTATAACTTAAAATATTTAAATTACATCAGGTTTGATCTAATGTCACGTTCTACTACTCTGAGTTTTTAGTTCCTAGAGAGACTTTCACGAGCCAGCTCTACTTTTATCTTAGAGGAAGAGAACGCTACACTGGCCTCACACTAATAAAATACAGTATGCTCAACCAGAGAGCCAAGCAGGTGGGACCCACGAAGACACCCACAGCATCACAACCGTAAGAGTGAGCAGAGGATGTTCAACAGAGGTGCCTTTTCAGACTAACCCTTTCTCAGGGTCAGTGAATGTTCACTCTCTTTAGTTTCTTAAAAGCAGAAAAACTTACCAGATTACAATAAAAAGTTAAGAGGGAATGTGATTCCATACGGAAAAATTAAGGAAACTTAAAGTAAACACTGAATTGGACAATGTTAACCAAACCTAGCTTCTTCCAATCTGGCAAAAATGAGGTAATTGTGATGGTTCAGAAATACCAATACATTCAATGGCTGCTACAGCCAACCTGTTAATACTGGAAGTAAAATGCAGAAAGAGAGAAAACTAAAAACAATTCAAAATCATATTTAGAGTTTATTACACATACTTGAGTTTTCAGTGTTCTCTCTGTTAATAGCTGCTTCTCAAATTGTGCTTTAATAGCAGCTGCACTTATCTCCTCATCTTTCAACCGTGATAGCTCTGAAATACGAAAAATGTAAAAATTATATTAATAATTACAGCAAGTGAGAAAACATTAGGTATATTTAAAAGGTAAACCTTAAGAAAAAAGGTAAACTTTATTCTTTGTTCATACATACGTTCTTGGGCATCTTTCAATTTGTTATTTAATTCTTCTTTCTCATTTGCAAGATTGGCAACATCACTAGTTAGTGTCCTATTAGTTTCTTCAAGCTAAAAATGAAAGCAGAGAAAAAAATCATATCACAATTTATAAAATCTAAGTTATAAAGCAATTATTCAAAATGAAAATATCCTAGAATATGGCTAAAACTCTTATTTTTCTAAGTACATCTATCTCTACACTTCGTGGCTTTGTGGAACCTTATCGAACTTCAGCCTCGGTAAAAACTTCACTAACCATAATAGACTTCATACACACTCCAGGAGGTAAAAACACTGCCCTTCTGTCAAAAATCCTTAGTGGTATTTTTAATGAGAAAAACATTTAATAAACTAAAAAACAAATGCCATAACTGATCTCTGCATTTCATCATGCAGAATAAACAAAATTTTAACTGTAGTATTTCTTTCAGTACACATTAAAACAAAGTAAAATTTTACTAAAAAAGCTGACACATACTTTTTTACTGTCTCCAAATCCTATTCCTATTCTTCCTTCCCCCAAGAAATTTTATTGTGAATTATGTGTTCATCCTTCTCATCAATGATTATATACTTTTATTACAAACACATAATGGATAGCGTGGTTTTATGTGATTTTAAATTGTTGGGACACCTGTGGCTCAGTTGGTTAAACAACTGACCTCAGACTTTGGCTCAAGCATGATCTTGTGTGGTTTGTGGGATGGAGCCCTGCACTGGGCTCTGTGCTAAGAGTGCAGAGCTCGCTTGGGATTCTCTCTCTTTCTCTCTCTCTCTCTCTCTGTCCCCCACCCCGCCCTGCTCAAGCGTGCACACTTTTCTCATATAAAATAAACTTAAAAAAAGAAACTGTTGATATCTAAAATCTAATTAAATCATCTTAACTGATATGACAGTTCCATCTTCTACCACATTTCATTTATCCATTCATTCATCTATTGAGAAGACTAACTGATAAGACATTTGAATTTTTCCCATTACAAACATTTATGCTGTCATAAAAAATGTACCTGAATTCCTCCACCATATTTAAACTTTCTTTGGATTATATGAATATTTAATTTTTCACATTTAAACTATTTAAAATAAATAAATATTTAAATTGCCAATATATATACTATATATACGATGCCATACTAGATTTATACTCCCCATAGTTTTAAATAAGAATGTCATTTTCCACACATCCTTCAAACACTTGAAAGTAGTCAGATACTGAATTTTGCCATTGTAATGAATATGAAATAGTTTTTCAAAGTTATTTTATCTAGCCTTTACTAAAGAGTAATTAGGTTAAGTATCTGCTTATATCTTTAGGGTTTTCTCTTTTGGCCAACTTTTCTTTTGGATTGGTGAACTATGTCTTATTGGCCTCAAGAGTGCCATGTGTGTTCTAAATACAAACCCCCTGTTTAATGAAAACATTACAAGTGTCTTCTCCCTGCAGTCCGCTGTCTTCTGCCACAGTTAAGTTCCGAATTTTGCTCTGTTTAGAGTTTTTCTTTTTCATCTTTAGATCTTTAAGATAGCCAGAATTTATCCTCATTACGTTGTAAAAGGTAAGGATCTAACGCTATTCCTTCCCACACAGCCCTCCCAAACCATTTGCTGCATCTGTATCTTCCCCACCGATGTGTCCATCACAGACCAAGTTCTTTATGTGCAGGAGTCTATTTCTGGCCTCCCTACTTATTGCCACTGAACAGAAATAAACATCCCTGCTCCAATGCCACACTTTCTAATCAACGTACCATTTTAATGACCCGGATGACTGACAAAACAAATGCAACTGCTTGATGTTTTACTTCTCTTTGAATTCCGCACTATAATTTTTTTTCAACGTGCATATGACTACCTTCATGGTAGTTTCAAGATTCTTTTGAACTAAGGTTTGTTTAACAAGAAAAAATGGTTTATACTGTTTTCTGCTTTTGGCATTTCCCTCTCCCTTTAGTCCTTTCACTCTGAATTTACCAACAGGCAGAGCCATTGTAAGCAGTTCTTTTCTTCAGCCTCTTTCTGTCAAACAACACTGAGAAGCTAGCAGTTAACTGGATAGAAATTCTCATAGCCAGTATACACAATTTTTCATTTCTATCTACAGTACTTTCCTAGAAGTGCTTTTAAAGAAGATTTATGACATACTAATTTGATTAACATCAAAAAAGAACTAAAATTTTTACTTACAGATGCAATTGTAGCATCTTTTTCAGTGAGTTCCTGTTTGTGTCTAGCCATCATCTCTTTGATCTCAAGTTCCTTCATGATTTTCTCTTTTTCCAAATCCGAATATTGCTCCTCAGCAATTGAACGAGCCAGCTGCTCGGAGTCTGCTTTGGTCAAGGTGATCTCCAGCTGAGCAGCCAAGGAGTCCCTACATTTTAATGATACATCATTTTCATGTTCAATTTCCACCAGGACATCCAACTTTCTAATACACGTCATCGGCGAATTCTTACTAAGGGTACAGCAGGTACTGTTCTAGGAGCAGCATGCACAGCTGTCAGCAAAAGAGACAAGGATCTCGGTCTGTACCTTTCGTCCTCGAATTCCTGTTTCTTCTGCTGTAATTCTTTACATAATTTGGTCTTTTCTTCACATTCTTCTTTAAGTTCTCTCACTTGTGTTTTATAGAGGGTCTAAATAGCAAAAGAGAACAGAAACATGTCACCACCATATCACCATCATCAGGAGCATTATTTCTACATTCAAAGTCTATCCAGACAAAAAGTCAAGTTGAACACGAGTATGTTCCTGCACACTGAGTAATGCTGGGCCTCTGAGCAAGCTAATAGGTTAGCGGGCTTTTCTGGTAATCAACCAATTAAATAATAAAAGTTCTGCTAATAACTTAGAAGCTTGATATAAAAAATATTTAAAAATTTTTTTTTATTTTTGGGAGAGAGAGCACGCAGGCACGTGTGAGAGCGTGGGGGAGGGGCAGAGAGAAAGGGAGACGGAGGATCTGAAGCAGGCTCTGTGCTGAGACTCAATCTCACACACTGTGAGATTATGACCTGAGCTGAAATTGGACGCTCAACAGACATCCAGGCAACCTAAGAAGCTTGATTTCAACTGGATGTCAGAATTTCTCATTAAATGACATAGATTGGTAGGATAAATAAAGAGGCAAAGAAATCTATTATCAATTTAGACAAGAAAATTCTTTTGGCCTAAATGCAATAGATGACATTACTTTCATATTTTGAAACGGATCTAAAAAAGTACAAATATTAAAATGACAATTTGTGAAAAATATTTTTTAAACAAACTTTACTGATGTGCTTAGAACTATTTTTCTAGCAATGATAATAGATTTCTGTTAAGCTATCAATAGTCATTTGCCCAGCTCCTTTCAATATGAATTGTGGCGCACAAACCATCCTACCCAAACCTCTGTCTGATGTTTGCTAGAAGAATCCATCCTAAAGACAAGAATTATTTTCCTCACTCTGCAGCAAACAAACTTTTTTAATTCTACAAATACAACAGTTTTCAAACTAATGTATCTGGAACTTACTGAGAAGTACTGCTCCGCTTCAAGCTGATCTTGCAGTTCTTTCATTTGCCCATCTGCATCTTGACGTTCTCTGTGGGGACATTAAAGCAAAGGTTCAAATAAGCTACACACATATTAAACCAGCATCTCTTGAAATGTGGTCTAAGGAATCACTGGGCATCCCTGGACCCTTTCAAAAAAAAAGTCCCAAGAGGTCAAATTATTTTCATAATACTAATAATCACTGTGTTGTTTCTTTTTTTTTTTAATTCTCATCCTCTCACTAGTGGGTATAGACTCTTTTATTAAGTGATATAACATATGTCATTGTTCCAACAGCTAATGAAATGTGTCTGTATGCTATTGTGTTTTAAAATTCTCTCAGTTTGGTGGCTCAGTCAGTTAAGCGTCCAACCCTTGGTTTTGGCTCGGGTCATGATCTCACAGTTCATGGGTTCAAGCCTGAGATTGGGCTCTGCGCTGATAGCATGAAGCCTGCTTGGGATTCTCTCTCTGCTCCTCCCAAACTCATGCTTGCTCTCTCTCAAAATAAACATTTAAAATAAATAAATAAGTAAATAAAATTTTCTCAGTTTTGATTTTTTTTTTTAAATTTTTTTTTTTTAATGTTTTATTTATTTCTAGTAGAGAGAGAGAGAGAGACAGCGTGAGCAGGGGAGGGTCAGAGAGAGAGGGAGTCACAGACTGAAACAGGCTCCAGGCTCCGAGCTGGCAGTCAGCACAGAGCCCGACGCGGGGCTCGAAACCACCAACCGCGAGATCATGACCTAAGCGAAAGTCGGACGCTTAACCGACTAAGCCACCCAGGCGCCCCTCTCAGTTTTGATTTCTAACACAAAAAATATTAGGTACCACTCACATCAACACCTTCATAATTTTTAAGAGTGTAAGGGAGGCCTGAGACCAAACAGTGATGTATTAGAACGGTGGCAGTAAATTACATCTTCTCACACATTCACTGTGATCAGCCATTTCTGCCCAGCTACCTAGAAGAAGTAAAAGAGCACCTGAGAAGTGGTTATCTCAGGATGAGTGAAGAAATGACTGAGAAGGGGCCAGAGAGGAGGAAAGAAGCACAAATTTTTATGTTTAAATGTTGACGTTTAAATTGCACAGACCTGTATATTCTGTAAAAATTCACTGAGCTCTACTAACATTTGTGTGTTTTTTCTGTATGCATATTACATATATGTATGCATACATCTTCAATAAAAAAAAATTTAAATAAAAAATAAAAAGTGAGCCTAATAACCTATGTAAGATGTTGTATTGAAATAAATTTTTTTAATGTTTTTTTTAAATGTTTATTCTTGAGAGAGAGAGCATGAGCAGGGGAGGGGCAGAGAGAGAGGGAGATCTTGAAGCAGGCTCTGTGCTGACAGCATTGAGCCTAATGTAGGGTTCAAACTCACAAACCATGAGATCATGACTTGAGCCAAAGATGGACACTTAACCGACTGAGCCACCCAGGTGCCCCAAATCCTAGGGTTATTAAGAAAACATAAAAATTACAGTTATTCCAACTCAAACCTAAGGTGAAAAAGCAAACTGGAGAACACCACCACATATGTGATACAATTAAAAAACAAAAAAACTCCAAAATCTATAAAAATCCCAACCCTATAAACACTGTACAGATGTACTTAGGAGGAGACATAGAAGGATAAATAAACTATCACAGTCTATTCTTTCTGGAGAGATGAACTATGTCTGCATTCATAAATAGGAACATATATTGTTTTCTTTTTTTTTAAATACAGTTCTGAGTATTTTACAGGGAGAAAACCTTTAAATACCACTTAAATATTTAAAAACATACATAGCAAGAAAGACTCAGATCAAATGATTTAATCATATTGTTTTCAATCTGTATATTACTGAAGGCTTTTATTCTTATTCTCATTTAATAATTTGGTCACTTTGTTTACTTACCAGCTCTTAAAACCTCCACATAAAAAAAGTTATCACTCAATGTCATTTATCTGTGTTATATCTGTATTTTATCACAGAGGTGCCTGCTATTAAAAGTGAGAATTCTAATTTTTCTGAGTCAAAAATGGGAAAGACGCTAATTAATAATATATGAAAGGTTAATTTTTTAAATGATCTCATCACCAGCTAAGCTCATTTGCAGCAAACCGCAATATAATTCTAATATCCTTAAAGAGCTGCTATCATTCATTTACATGTAACTTTAAAAACCTAACATTTATTAGGTATTTAAAAGTACTTTTCAAAAACTTAACCCATTATATGCACATGGTTACAATTAAAAAGTGCAGAAGAGCACAGAAAAAAACCATCAAGAATGGCCGCAGGCTCCTTATCCACACCTCTTCACACCCTCACCTCACTCCCCTGGAGGAATTCACTCTGTGGCATTTGTGTTGCTCTAATGAGAACTACCTCCACATCTCAGCTCATTTCTGGACACAAACTTAAACTCGTACTAGCGAACTGCCTGCCGCCAGAGCGAGAGGCTGGCTCTCCCCACCCCGACCCTCCCGCAGCTCCTCTAACAGCCGCAGCATGGGCCTCCGCCACATGCGCCTCGCTGCCTCCTCCATCGACCACAAACCACACAACCTCCGCGGTTTGCGACGAGAACTGCAATCCTCCCGCCCACCCTTCCTCCTCTTGCTTTTGAAATTTCATAAGAACATGTCCAAATGTGGGTCTTTTTTCACTTATTTTCTATTGAGTCCTTTCAATCTACGCTTCCAGCCAAGGGAAACTGTTTTCTATTATTTCTTTAATAATTCCTGTGCTTGGGTTTCTCTAGACTTCTTTCTGGCGCTGGAGGTCCTGGGCCACGTGTCTTCTATGTCATTCCCTCTTACTCCATTTGAGGAGATTTCTTTGAATTTTTCTTTAAACCATCCTAATAAATGTATATGCAGTCATTTTTAATCTTTAACAACTCTTTCTTATTCTGGCTGCCTTTTTTGGATTAAGTCACTTCTTGTTTAACGAAAGTAGTATCTCCTAAAAGGTTTTTTTTTTTTTTTTTTTTTTAATATTTTTATTTATTTCTAGGAGAGAGAGAGACAGCACGAGCAGGGGAGGGTCAGAGAGAGAGGGAGACACAGACTCCGAAACAGGCTCCAGGCTCTGAGCTGGCAGTCAGCACAGAGCCCGACGGGGGGCTCGAACCCACGAACCACGAGATCATGACCTAAGCGAAAGTCGGACGCTTAACCGACTAAGCCCCCCAGGCGCCCCTGTATCTCCTAAAAGTTTTGATCAATACTAACTATTACCAATAGGCTTTTTTTGGTCTGTATCTTCCTCTTCTTTCCTTGCTATACTTCTCATCTGGGGGTATGTTTCTTTGTTCTTTATCACAGTCTTTCTCTTTCATACTGAAGACTTTCCTCAAATGCCTAATGATACTTGGGTTATTCATTTACAGAGAAGGCAACAGGTAGAAGTAGTAAAAACTCGTTGGGGAAGCAAATATAATCTTAAAGGGTAAGAGTGGCACTCAACACATTACTTAAACAGAAAAAGAGAGCAAATGTGGTCAAGAAAATGAAGTAATCGTAAGAAAATTCCCAGGAAAACCAAAATGAAGATAATTTACATGTGGACAGTCATACATATTAATAAACCTTTGTCTCAAACAATTTACTTACTTTCGAAGTTCAGCATTCTGCTTTTCCAAGCTCATTTTCATTTCCATGAGATGATTATTCTCTTGTTTTAACTGCTTTTCTGACATTTTTAGTGTGTTAACTTGCTGTGTTTGCATCTTCAAGTCATTTTGTGTAAGGCAGCGCTTCTGAGTTTCTTGCTCTATTTTTAATGTCAAGTTTCTAATCTAAAAAATAAATTGTATACTTGTTATATAAATAATTTTTATTTTTCTTTAAACATTTTTTCAATGTTGCAGGCTCCAGGTTCTGAGCTGTCAGCACAGAGCCCGATGCGGGGCTGGAACTCATGAACCACAAGATCATGACCTGAGCTGAAGTTGGACGCTTAACCACTGAGCCACCAAGGAGCTCCATTATTTTGATTTTTCTTATCAATGAAGCTTGCAGCAAATATGATCATGCATAAGAGATTTTTGTCCTTAGGCAGTTAATTCATTTCACAGTAAAATAACTTTTGTATTTCTGATGTCCTCTTTTTTTAATAAAATATGGCCTTTAGGATAAAAATAACTTAAAAACTTTTAACAATGATTCATTTAGGGTATCATCCAAATTCAGTAAAATTAAAGCATAATACTTTAAGAAAAAATTTTAAATTATGAAGTCAACATTACAGATAAACCTAAGTGGACTATGAATTCCTCACATAATTTATTGTTACTTTTTAGTAAACTTCATACTCACATCCTCATTTAGCACATCTTTCTGCTTAAGGAGTTCATTTATCTTCTGCTGGGACTGTTTGAGGTCACAGTCTAATATAGAGCATCTCTTCTCAGCTTCCAGCAACAGGTTTTCCACCTTCTGCTTTAACGCCCTTTCCTCTGAGAGCTTTTTCTCCATTTCTGTTGTCACAACAATGGACACAATTATGCATTCACATACCAAAAAAGCATATCAAATGCATGACCCCATACTATGAAAATTACTGTAAATAATGCTGGCTTAAAACCTTTTAACTTTCCAATTTAATATTTCCATCGTTCTTCCTAATGTGTTTGAAATGTCAACAGTTTCATGCTTGGAAATCAGGCGTTTTATTTGCAATGTGGAAAAATCTACCACTCTGCAATATTGTATCAGTTCTAACTCAAGTAAAATTCTGCCTTCACTTATGGTTCTAAAAGAGCCTTACAGCTTTTGAATAAAGACTTATTTGCTGCTACCCTATGCCTCCTGGGGTTACTCTTCTTGCTCTACAATACCCCAGCCAGCCGCTCTGCTGTCTATGGCTCCTGCCACATTAGTACAGTACGATGCACAGGATGACAGTTATGCTTTGGGGAAATGTTAAAGGGCAAGACGCTGGGACCAAACTTCTTGAGGTTAAGCCCTGTCTCTGACACATCCTAATTATTTGCGTGGGCAAGTTAATTAAGCTCACTGAGGCTCAATTTCCTCATTTGTAGAATGGTGATAACAATACGTATCCTCCCTCACAGGGATGTTATGAAAATTCTTAGTTAAGATCTGTGTGGCACTTACTAGCTGGTTGGCATACAAGCAGCACTTGGTAAGTGCTCACCATTTAAAGGCACTGTTTAATGACCTAAAGAGAATGCTCACAGTATTATTTTAAAAGAAAAAAGCAAAAAAGTATAAAAATTTCAGAAAACATACAAAATATCATCCTGACTAGTAAAACTGTGGTTAATCTTTACTTCTTTATACTTTCATGTATTTTCTAAATGATTTGTAATGAACTTTTAATTTGTCTTATTAATCAGAAAAGGCTTTTAAAAGTGAAAAACAGGCAGTTTACATCTAAGCAAGTGATTTCATATTAAATGTCAGTTATTAGCATTAAAAGATTACCTTTAGATGTACTGATTAGAAAATCTTTTCAAATCCAATTAGGCTCCTCTGCTCTTTCATACCTAATGCTCAGTATCGAATTATCATTTATAATAAAGTTATGTAGGGAAAAATTAAGCTTATAAATTTTCACTTTTTAATGAACTACCTTCAATAGTGTGAAGAAATGAAACTATTCTTCACATTCTACTATTTCTAAGCATTTTCACATATCATTGCAGTTGGTCTTCAAAACAACCTAATACTCTTAATTGTCTAAGAAGAAACAAGGCACAAAAAAGGTTTAAGTAACTAGACAAGGTTATATGACTAGTAATTCATTAATAAGTCATATTCTTAATCAAAAGAAGCTATGACATGGCAGCAGAAAGCACAAAGGCTTTTAGAGCTGGTTTGAATACCAGCTATAACATTTTTGTGTGTTCATATAAATTATGAAAGTCATCATACATCTTACATTAGTATTGTAGAAAGGACTTTGAAAAAAATTGTAGGTACTGTTACTCTGAATTGGTTCATTTTTGTCAGTTCAGAGAATAACTCATGGACAGATGTACTCATTTAAAAAAAACCAATCACCCTAATGTGGGCACACAGACAGGGGCACAAGGGAACTTACTAAGGTGATAAAAATACATATTCTATAACTTGTTTTGAGTGGTGGTTACAAGTGTGTATTACAAATGTGAGAAGTGCTTGCGTTTTACTGCACCTGAATTACACCTCAAAAGAATATCTTCTAGAACACTGACAGGGAAAGATGGCCCACTAACTTCCTCTCTTGTAATTAGATTTTTCCAAATAAAGCACTCATTTCATCTTTTAACATCCTTAATTACTGCCTTAAACTACACTGATTTTTAACCAAAAAAAAAAAAAAAAAAAAAAAATCTCCAACTTAAATTCCATTCATTAATTACAGGGCTATTTTTTTTTTTTTTTTTGCTAAGTTATTCATGAATGTTATGCTTCAATTTGAAATAAAATTTCTACTTAAGAGTTCTGTTCCGTGAGTCTTTTATTAATTTCCTTTGGAATTTCAAATGCTTCATAAGTATAAACAGTTAGGAAAACAAGAAATTATCCTAAAACAATTCCAAGATACAGGCTGGTTTATAGAAAAGTTAACTCTGTTATCTTACCCTATATTCCTTAGTAGTGGATGACCTTGACCAGATCTAGGTAGTATCTTCATCATGCCAGAGTTCAAAATAGTCAATGAGCTTATATTCTAGTTAGGTCAGCTTCTATTTTTAAAATATGTATCTTGCATAAACCAGCAACAGTTTTGTTACACATGCTGGTAAGTGTCAAACTAAATATTACAAAAAGGGCAAATCCTCCAAATCTGAATAGATATATCTAGAACTTCATGCTCTTTATGCCTGTTACTATTGCTATTACCGAAATACTCTCTTCTCTCCAATGCTTAAATTTGGTTGAATAATTTTGTGTTTGGGCCTTACTATCTTAGAAATGTGTTGCCAGAAGGGAAAAAAAATTGATATGTATATAAACTTCTCTAATGTTTTTTTTCTTTCCAGTTCTCAATATTTGACAATAAAATATAAAAAAATATTTTTCAAAATCAAAGAGTTGACTACAGAATCAATTCTTAGTAAAATGTTGCAGAAAAACCCTCTTAGGAAAAAGCGTACCTTTCATAGCTTCTGATTTTGCTTCTTCAATGGATTCATAAATCTTATTTTTATCTGCCAGCCGTGCTTTTGTAGCCTTATGCTCAGTTTCTTCTTGCTCTAAGCTCTGCTGTATAACTTTTAGCTGGTATGTCATATCTATTTCCATGTTGTTCTTTTCCTATTAAAGATTTAAAATAGCAGCTATCAATAAAAAAGACTGGCTCACAATTTCAAAAACTTATAAAACTATTTTTTACAGGCTAAGAATGTTCAATACTTCCCTCCCCCGCTTCACTCAAACTTCTTGTAAAAGTGATCCGTGGAACCCACCTGCTCACCGCTGAACCTATGTCCTATCCCTCTACTCTCCTGCTAGGAGATCTGCACTGAGAGTGCTCCATCTCAATAAAGTAACACATGATATTCTCAACATCAGAGTCAATAAACACTTTTCAGTATTTACCTCATTGAGACTCAATGTTGCCCTTGAAACCATTTCCTTGACATACCTGACAATGAACCCACTTGGCTAGTCCCTTCCTATTCTCATCTCTTCTGTCACTTAGGAAGTTTTACCCTAGCTGTTCTTTAAATGCTGGTCTTCTCTGGAGATGGTGTTTTTCAGCCTCTTAAAGCTTCTCTCCTTCCTGTGTCATTATTGCTCACCTTTAAAACATTCCAAATGTTTCCCTTTGCTAGAGCTAAAGACAGATTTTCAGGATCCTCTACCATTTACCCTTATATTCCACACAGGAGACTTGTTTTAAGTTGGGAAACTTTAATAACAGAAGCCAATCTATTTTCTGGATATCTGCAAAAGATTTTCCAATTCTTTGTTTTCTATAGTTTGTATCATAAGTGTAAATATTTCTTTTGTTTTTCAAATAAGTCTTTAATACTGAAAATGATTTTTTCTTTTTTAAGTTTATTTACTTTGAGAGAGAGAAAGAGAGGAAATATGTGTAGAGGATGGGCAGAGAGAGAGTGAGAGTGAGAATGAGAAAGAATCTCAAGCAGGCTCCACACAGTCAGTGCAGAGCCTGGGGCAGGGCTTGAGCTCACTAACTGTTGAGATTGTGACCTGAGCCAAACTCAAGAACTGGATGCTTAGTCGACTGAGCCACGCAGGAGCCCCTAAATATGATTTTTTCAATCCAACAACAGAGTAATCAACTCCGCCCTGAAACACCAGTGCTCTGAGCAATCTTTTCCTAGATAGGCTCTTGCATTCACACAGCTTCAGACATGCTGTATCAAATGACTCTCAAATATTTCTAGCTTCAACATAGTTTACTGTTTTATGAACATCCTAAGGCACCTCAAACATAGGACTAAAACAGATTTTGTCATTATCTCTTCTAAAAGAGTTATTTCCCTTCATTCTTTTTCCCCCTTATTCCTTATTAATTAGTGTTAGCATTATATATCTTGTCACAAAGTAAGAACCTAGAACTCATCCTTAAGTACCACACACACGCTTCATCTAAGCAATCACTAAGTGCTGCCAAATATTCTACCTCCAAACAGTTCTCAGATTCATCCCCATTTTCCATCCTTTTAACTACTGTACCAGTTAAGTCTCCATTATTGGAATTACTGAAAATGCCTCTGACTAGTCTCCCTACCTCTTATCTTGTCTTTCTCAAATTTATTCTCCACACATGGTACACAATGATCTATCTTAAATATACATCTAAAAAGCCCTTCAGTGGCTGGTTCATTACCTAGAGAAATTATTAATAGAGCATCAATAATTAATAGTCTGTTAATAAGAGCATTCAAAATCTTACAGGATCTAGCTCATGTCTAGGTCTATAGCCTCATTCTGGACAGTGAATTCCTCAGGGTTACCATGAGGACCATACTGCAGTCTTCAGGCCATTTTGGCCTGATGTCTATTTTTGTAAAATTTCACTGGAACATAGCCACACCCATTCCTTTACATATCGCAGCAGAGCTGAGTTGCAACAGACTATATGGCTCTCAAAGACTAAACTACTTACTGTCTTTCACTTAAAAGATTAAAATCTGTTGACCCCTGCTCTACACTCCAGACTACTGAGCAGTGTGCAGTCCATAAGCCAACTCTGCCTTTTCTGTTTCCTGTGTACGTCTGCTCCTGCTGTCCCCCCTTGCTCAGAATGTGCCTTTCCCCTGCCTACCACCCCACCCTGTGCATCCCATATATGCCGTCCATTCTTCCAGCAGTCTCTTTACCACACCGCCTTAGAACTTTCTGTGTGCTTTATTAATTATGTTAGGTACTACTCTTTAGACTGTATTTTTTAAAATTTATTATTTTTTTAAGTAGGCTCCATGTGGGGCTTGAACTCATGACCTAGAGATTAAGAGTCACATGCTCTACCATCTGAGACAGCCAGGGGGCCCCACTGTGAGATTGCTAAAGGCAAGCAAAGACTGCATCCGCATATTTCTACCACAGGTAGAATACATTAATTCTTCAATACTTCAACAAATGGATAAGTGAACAAAAATAACACCTTAACTGCACAGAGCCTAAAAACTATCCCTGGCTTATAACGGTTTTAAAGAAAAACTTTCTTTTTTCTTTTTTTAATTTTTAAGGTTTTATTTATTTCTGAGAGAGACGGGGGGGGAGAGAGAGAGAGAGCGAGAGAGAGAGCGAGACAGACAGACAGACAGACAGACAGACACAGCATGAGCAGGGAAAGGTCAGAGAGAGAGAGGGAGATACAGAATCTGAAATACGCTTCAAGCTCTGAGCTGGCTGTCAGCACAGAGCCCGACACGAGGCTCGAACCCATGAACCATGAGATCATGACCTGAGCTGAAGTCAGACGCTTAACTGACTGAGCCACCCAGGCGCCCCAAGAAACTTCTCAATGCCAAAAGCCATTGTAACTGTGTATCATTTTAAAGACATGGTGTAATCAAAATTTAAGTTTTCCTTGGATCCCTAGGAAGAAACATTCACTGAAAGAATACTGATAACCCTTATTTTAGATTAAGTTTTCCAATCTAAAACTCTTTGTCATTTTCTTACAAAATATAAAGCTGAACATGTTTTTACCTTTTCCAAATCAGTAAATCTCTCCTGTAGTTGTCTCTTCTCCATCTCTGCTTTTGCTAATAAGATTTTGCCATTCTTTAAATCTTCTTCTAGGCCAGATATTCTACCTAAAATTGCAACATTTTAAAAACAATAAACCCACAAAGTACATATATTAAATTAAGAGTAAAAAATTTGGAAATCACCTCATACTTTGCAGCTGTTATTTATGAGCAGAAGTTTTATAATTGTTGGTAGAGGGCTTTATGGTTAAGTCAGCTGGAAGCCAAGGCGTCACCTTGGGAGGTGGTTTTTGATAACTTACAATATTTCACACTATTTGAAAGAAAATCTTCTATTCATAAAATTTTGGATCAATGCATTTCCAACACCCTAATTTCACATAACAGAGTAGTATATTCAGAAATGTGCTATCCCAGCACATATACCCATCATCTAAAGTTATCTCCAAAATATAAATCAAGATGAATTCAAATGTAATCTCTACTTTATAATACCTTGCAAGTCATTAATTATCTCTGATCCGTGAGTTCGGTCCCTCCGTTCAGATTCTAGAACTGACTGAAGATTGATAAATTCCTTTTCCAGTTTTAACTTGGCAGTCTCCAGCAGACAGTTTTTGTCTTGAAGCTCTCTATTGTTAGACTCCAGCTGCTGAATCTGCTTTGTACTTTCTGCCTGGGTTTTTCTTAATCGGGCTGCAGTATCAGATTCTGTTCTCAGCAAAGCATTGGTTTCATCCAGCTGTAATCCCATTCAAAATCCAACAGACAACAACAAACACAAGTGCATATAATGAAAATACTCCCATTTAACAGCCCGTTACAAACTATTTAAAGAAAAAAAATCCCTAAAAAGTTTCCTAATGATTTCCCTTTAAAATCAGAGGCAAAGGCTTCTGTAACATTCCCAATTAAAATTAGTAAGTTATCAAGAAAATTCAGTATCTTATTACAAATTGAGATTAACCTACTTGTCTCTGGAGTTGATTTACTTTCTCGGTGGATATTTGAGAGCTCTGATTCCTTTTTTTCAAATCTTCAAGCTGATCCTTTAAACTGTTAACTACGATAAAAAGCATTTCAGTGGCAAGCTTCAACAACAACACACACATACATACACACTTAATTTTTTTCTTGGTAAGTATTTAATATTCTACACCACAAACCATCATTTTCCAAATTTCGTTTCTTGTCTGCTTCATGATCAGCTTTCCGCTGAAATTCTGCATTTTTGTGCTGAAGAAGTGCCTTTTCTCTTTCTAATTGTCTTAATGATGATTCCACATTTTTCCTTAAGGTAATCTGAAATAATGCTTAAAGTTATTACCAAAGTTATTTTATATGTATAAAAATCAAATGAAAACACTATTTTAGTATTTCAAGCAGATAACAAAGAACTTTTAAAAAAGCTATAACTGCTGTTAAAATTTACAATAACATTTTCCATTATTTCAAAACAGTATACCTCTCTTAAATTTAATATTAAGACCATACTGTTAATTGTTTACTACTGAAAGTCAAACTTTCTGTAACATTCCATCCCCACCGAACCATCTTCACTTAATTAACTATGGATCTGAAATGTTACAAACAGAAATTTAAAAGAAGAAACATGGTCACTTTCTCTTGTTAACCCAAGTAATTAACACAAATGCAAATCTTTTTACGTGAAATATCTACTCATACTAAATCAACTCAAGTTTGCGAAAACATAACAAAATGAAGCTATCATCATGGTTATCCTGTAACTTTCATCCTGTTCACCAATACTACGTAAGGTGGGTCTTACTATATATCAAGTCAGGTATTACTCAGGTTCTATGAGAACTCTGCAGGGAAGGCAGGCATCAGAACTTTTAGTCAACAAAAATATTAATGAAAGCACACGGCAGCTTTACCTCCTCTTCCAGCTCCTTTGCTACTTTTTCAAGGCGAGTATTAGCAGATCTAAAGGATTTCAAAAGAAACAGTAAGTAAAATCTCTCCTAATTTATAACAAAAACATTTACATACTATAAACTCAAAAATAATCATATAATTACTTTGTAACTCTTCATTTTTAGTAAAACATTTAAACTTAAATTTTAAAATACATTTCATTATCTAAACAACATACTTGCACTTTTGCTCTAGTTCTTCTTTGGCTTGTATCTCAGTGCTAAGGTGTTCTTCTAATGTGTATAGTTTTTTCTGAATCTGTCCAAAAACAAAAAACTATATAAATTTTGGTCACATTTAAAATATGAGAGGCTTAAAGAAAACAATGATAAGCTGTTTTTTAAGCCTAATATAACCTCCTTTATAATGGTACAGTTTTTGTACCTTCTTAATGTGACTTTTACTGACATAAGGAAAAAATTCTCCATCTCTTGCTTTCTACGTATGTGTGCAAACATGTACACACTACGTAAATATGCAAATGAGAAGCTCTAATCTTGGCAGAATTCTTCTATGACACCAAGTCTCTCATTCATTCCAAATAAAGGATATCCTCTGATGTCCTCCTCTGTTCTGTAAAAATTATTTATTATTTATGTAAAAATTATTTTTTTATTTATGTAAAATAAATATTTTTTTTATGTAAAAATACTGTCACAGTGTGTATTTACAAGATGAAGAGATCTATATCTGAAACAAATGTTTGGAATATTTGACCGAAGTTGTTCAAAAATATATTACGCTCTTAAAAATGAGAATTCAAGCTCTTCTTTGTATCTTTCTACACAGTGCCAGGAACACTACTATAAGGAGTTATAGTCAATTACGTCTTCCAAGAATGACGGCTAATTGATTATAAGTCATTTCCTTGCCATTCTTTACGTTTGCTTCTAGGCCAGATATGTTGATCTTTAAACAAACTGAAAATTACATTACATATTAAATAATCCATTTTTGGAGCATTATTTCCTTTATAAAGGACTTAACTTTTTTAGTGCCTTTTATGACTTAGGTATTAGGCATTTTACAAATTGTTGTCTCATTAATTCTAACAACAACCCTAAAAAGGTGGTAGTGTTGTATCTACTCAATAAAGAAACTGAAATTCAAAAGAGGTGAATAACTCTCTAGATGGCTTAGTTAATAAGTGGCTGTGCCAAAAATCAGTTCAAGTTTATTAGATTCCAAGGCCAATCTTCTTTCCACTATTTTAGTGACTAGGTTCCTCATGTTTTCTTAAATATTTTATGTATCTTAAGCAAAACTATCATTTTTCCCTAATAAGAATATACAGGCCAATGAACAAGTCAAGTTTAACTGCTTTTGGCTGCTATTACATTAGTATAATTTGATCACACTAGTTTTCACTTGTTAATCTAAAATTCTACTATCAGTTATAGATCCTTCATGAATAAAAATAAGAAAATTATATAATACATATTTAAACAATAAATCCATAGGGGCAATAATAAAAGAAATACTTGGTAGAAACAAGGTTGGGAACTTCGTTCTTAAGTAGATGTAGCACTCCAAATGCTAGGTAGAAAATGGCTCTATCAAAACTAGAGTGATGTGTTTTTCTCAGTTTTTCAATGTAAGTGACATCAACATACCTCTTGGCTTTCCTATTAAAATAAAACAAAAAAAACACAGAAATTTAAAATGCTTGCATGCTTTATAAAATTCCTAAAATGAATCATCCCAAAATCATCTAACCAATTTTTTTTTTTACCTTCTATAAATTTTAAGGAGAAAATGTTATTAGCATCCTTATTAATGTGCATGTGTGTGCACAATTTACTTTTGTGTACGGTTACAAATTATAGAGGCCACAAAATATTGTTAGAGTTTGATAAAATTACCGTTTATATGAATTCATTCCTGAACACTCAGAATATTAATTTCTCCAGTATTTCTATACCCTTATAATTTATCAACTATATCCTTTTAGAGTACTAAGATTGTAAAAATTTCTGATATTATAGATGTTTATAAACCTATTCTATCACTTTTTTGCTATTAAAACTAAGCCTAAAAGCTATGCATAATTCATCTTTTTACTAGACACTCTATCTTACACAATACTATCTTACACAATACTACTTTTTCATTGAACTGAAAAAATCATTTCAATGTTCTGAGAACTGTATTACAACAAAGAACACCATCTAATGATTCAAAAAGTAGCATCCAATGAACGTTTTAAACACATGGATATTACTAAGTTAGTTCAACATGTGACTAAAATATAGTAAAAATTTATACATACTTCATTTTTCCTTGACTGTACTGAATCATTTTCTCTACAAGATGGAGAGTCACTTAATAACCTAGAGAGAAAGGCAGGAAATCAATTCTGTGCAGGTCATTTTAATCCATTTTATAATACCCCCAAATTATTCTCAGAATTAAATTTTAACCACAAAGATTTCTTTTTCACTTTAACATATTTTCAATGAAGCATTGTTTCCCCCTCTACACACTTATATCATTCTCAAGAATTTAAAATGCTACAATTGTTTTGCCCCCCACTCTTCTCAGATGTTCTAGTCTTTAATATCATTGAGACTGGAGTCACTATACAGACTATACTTTCCCCCTCTTCATCTCATTCTGAGTTCCTACAACTATGTTATCTAGAAATCTTCTAGAAAAGAGACCCCTCTCCTCCTTTTCAAAGATAACATCTCTTGATTTCCAGGTCTTAAAACATAAATCATCTCTTCTATTTACATATCAATTTCTCACTTTAACTGGGTCCTTCCTCATTGCCTATAAATATGCTTGGGTTTCTCCAGGCACCCATATCCTCATTTTAGTGAACATTACAATAGTTTTTAGAATACTACTGTTAGCAGGGTGGCCAACTCATCCTGGCTTGCCTAGAATTTTCTCAGTTTCAGCATGAAAATCCCTCGCCACATCCTAGGAAGCCCCTCAGTCCTGGGCAAACCACAATGGTTGGTCACCTCCACCATTACATACATGGAAGCACCAAAAGTTTCTCAAAACTGTGTTTCTCAAATATCTGTAATGCCTCACTTCTCACTATGAGTCAAAGTCAAAAGGCCCTTCGTATGGCACAGAATAATCATCTGCTGCTTTACTGTTTCCCTGAAAACCCAACAGTTTTAATCTTTACACCCAATACTCACTGCAGTCAACCAGTATTTACTGAGGCTCTGTGCTGCATGGAGGGATTACAAGCAAGACGCTTACAGTCTCATTAGGTCCAAATGATCATAATACAGCAATAGGCACCTTGTGTTTGAGCCCTACTGGACCACACTACTCTGTTCCCAATGTGCGCGGATATCCACACTTTTGCTGCCGTTGCTCACTTGCCCACAACTCTCATCTAACCTTCCCACATCTTGGCCACTAAAAACTCTTTCCTGTTTTCACAAACGCAATCCCTTCCCTGAAGTCTTACCTGACTTCTTACCCTCACCACAGAGATGTGACTTTTACTTTTCTTCTGAACCATTCTATCTGAGCTACCTCAGATACTTTGGTACTTTTCTTCTTTTTTCAAATAAATATATTTTTAATGTTTTTTTTTGTTTTGTTTTATGAGAGAGACAGAGGGAGAGTGTGAGCTGGGGAGGGGCAGAGAGAGAAAGGGGAACAGAGAATTTGAAGTGAAGCAGGCTCTGCACTGACAGCAGAGAGCCCGATGCGGGGCTCAAACTCATGAACTGTGAGATCATGACCTGAGCTGAAGTTAAATGCTCAACCAACTGAGCCACCCAAATGCCCCAAGATTTATTTATTTTTGAGAGAGAGAGAGAGCAGGGAGGGGCAGAGAGAGAAGGGGACAGAAGATCTGAAGTGGGCTCTGTGTGACAGCATCAAGCCTGACGCAGGGCTCAAATTCACAAACTGTGAGATCATGACCTGAGCTAAAGTCAGATACTCAACTGACTGAGCCACCCGGGTGCCTCAGAACCTTTCTTAAGGCAAATATCACATTCTATCCTTCATTATGACTATATTATTCTCTTGTATTCCTCATTAGTTGATTAAGTTCCTTCAAAAGTATGTATTTGGTCTTACTCTATAGCCCCCAAAGAATATACAACAGTGCCGTGCATTCATCTGTAAATGAATATAACATTCAGAAATAATGGAATTAAATGAAAAATAACTTGATAGTCCTTTTTAAAAACTCCAAAGTTTAAAACAAATGAACACTTTATCTTCTATAATCCAGAGTCTCACAGTAAGACAACGCTTTACAGCAAAAGCTTGAAAGCCATAAAAATGTAACAAACAAATCACATACAAATTTTCTCTATAGTAGGTAAATCCTATAAAAGGCAGCTGATTTCCCACAAAAGCTTTAGGAATTGGGAAGGTTTCTACATCTCCTTTATCATCTTCGATGTCATCAAAATTGCTGCTATCTATGTCACTGCTGAGCTCAGGTACTACAGGAGCTGCCGCTGTTGAAAGGGAAGAAATGAATTATTTTAGTCATTGTTGAAATATGTATTAACCATCCAGATTACAAGATGTAATTGTGTGATACCACCAACACATATGTTAATAATATATAATCAATAACATTATGATTTACTATAGAAAATTTGGTAATATGGTTTACATTCTATCATTTCAAAAAATTAAAATTTTATTAAGTATTTTATTACTACATTAGATCAGCTTTATGTGTAGTTAAGTTTACTAAACAGGGAAAGCAATGTGGTATCATAGGTATTAAAATTGAAAGCAGCAGTGACTTGCACATACATTCTTCAGTCTTTGGCTTTTTATACTCTGTAACTAAAATATTTCTTAACTCTTAAAATGAATTAATGTCCAATATACATTAAGTTAAAATGCACTACTATGCTTATTCTAGTATTCATCAAAGTATAGTCTCCATAATTAGTGATTTATTAATTCAAACATTCAAAATTAAAGGATATTTTCCCCATTCTGCAAATTATTTGGATTCACAAAAAACTTGTCAAATTAAGAAGTCTATTATAAAAGCACTAAGAAATATTGCTAATAAATACAAATTAGTTTGTTAAGATCCTGAGGAACATTAATTTAGTTATAAATATTGCCACAGAACAAATCTGAAAGGAAACTTCTCAATTTAAAAGTAGTTATCATTACGTATATCAAACACGCTTATTAATTCAAAAGAGGAATCAATTTTTGAAATTGAAAATGTGACGAAATGGAAATAGTTAAAGTTACTGACTTACTCTCTCTTATGTTATCCCAATTCCACTGATCATTCTTAAAGAAAGAATGTTGTTTGATTTCTTCTACCCCATTTCTCCCAAGTCGTACCTCCCTAAACAATGCAATTAAAGATTGTATTATGAAAAGATTATGAAAAAAAAATAACTCCTATCTTGACAAGGATCAAAATAAGGATCGCAAATGACTTTGAGATATCTTTATCAAAAGTTTCAAGCTTAAATGTTTTTCAAAAACAAGCAATGCCAATTTTACAATATATGGTCTCTGTAGATTAAAAGGACTGTACAGGAAATGCCATGGAAAGGAAAATGTATTTCCCTCTGTAGTTTGTATCAAACAAAAATATGCATGAGAATTTCAAATAAAAATATTCATCTGTGTGAGCCCAAACTGCAGGGGACCAGCTTCGGAATGGAGTCAGCATATGGTGCAGCACTGATTTCAGGAGTAGATCCCTTAACACCCCTCACCCATGTAGCCTGTCCCCCTCCCACAGCCCCTCCAGCGACCCTGTTTGTTCTCCACATTAAAGAGTCTCTTATGTTTTGTCCCTGTTTTTATATTATTTTTGCTTCCCTTCCCTTATGTTCATCTGTTTTGTATCTTAAAGTCCTCATGAGGGAAGTCATATGATACCTGCCTTTCTCTGCCTAATTTTGCATAGCATAATACTCTCTAGTTCCATCCACGTAGTTGCAAACGGCAAGATTTCATTCTTTTGGATGGCCGAGTAATACTCCACTGTATATATGTGTGTGTGTGTGTATTTACACACAGTGTATTTATACACACACACCACATCTTCTATATCCATTCAGCTGTCAATGGATATCTGGGCTCTTTCCATACTTTGGCTATTGTCGACAGCACTGTTATAAACACTGGGGTGCATGTGCCTCTTTGAAAAAGCACACCTGAATCCCTTGGATAGATACCTAGTAGTGCAATTTCTGGGTCATAGGGTAGTTCTATTTTTAATTTTTTGAGGAACCTCCATGCTGTTTTCCAGAGTGGCTGCACCGTTTGCATTCCCACCCGCAGTGCAAAAGAGGTCCTCTTTCTCTGCATCCTCACCAACATCTGTTGTTGCCTGAGTTGTTAATATTAACCATTCTGACAGGTGTGAGGTGGTATTTCATTGTGGTTTTGATTTGTATTTCCCTGATGGTGACCGATGTTGAGCATTTTTTCATGTATCGGTGGGCCACCTGGATGTCTTCTTTGGAAAGGTGTCTATTCATGTCTTTTGCCCACTTCTTCACTGGATTATTTGTTTTTTGAGTGTTGAGTTTGATAAGTTCTTTATAGACTTTGGATACGAACCCTCTGTCTGATATGTCATTTGTTAAGTATCTTCTCCCATTCCACTGGTTGCCTTTTAGTTTTGCTGATTGCTTCACTGTGCAGAAGCTTTTTATTTTGATGAGGTCCCAATAGTTCATTTTTGCTTTTGCTTCCCTTGCCTCTGGAGACGTGTTGAGTAAGAAGGCGCCGTGGCCGAGGTCAAAGAGGTATTTTGCCTGCTTTCTCTAGGACTTTGATGGTTTCTGTCTTACATTTAGGTCTTTCATCCATTTTGAGTTTATTTGTGTGTCTGGTATAAGGAAGTAGCCCAGGTTCATTCTTCTGCACGTCGCTGTCCAGTTTTCCCAGCACCATTTGCTGAAGAGACTGTCTTTATTCCATTGGATATTCTTTCCTGCTTTGTCACAGATTAGTTGGCCATACATTTGTGGGTCCATTTCTGGGTTCTCTATTCTGTTCCATTGATCTGAGTGCCTGTTTTTGTGCCAGTACCATACTGCCTTGAGGATTACAGCTTTGTGATACAGCCTGAAGTCCGGGACTGTGATGCCTCCAGCTTTGGTTTTCTTTTTCAAGATTGCTTTGGCTATTCGGGGTCTTTTCTGGTTCCATACAAATTTTAGGACTGTTAGTTCTAGCTGTGTGAAGAATGCTGGTGGTTATTTTGATAGAGACTGCAACATTAACTCATTTTAAAGTGTGTATTCTAGAATTCCACCTTTAAGATCTTTTCCTCCAGAGAATATGCAACGATATGAATACATGAGGACAGGCACTGCAGGGCTCCTCTGTAACAGCAACTGGCTAATAATAAGGTTTGCTAAAAAATCACAGCACTTTCCAGCTAGAAACGCCCTCAGCTCTCTTCGATTGAATCTGACCCCATCATTTATGGGTAAGTAAAATTATTTCCCCTGTAAGTAAAATAATTTCCTTAAGATCATAATGCTAGTGCATAAAGTATGGACTGCAGTGCACATGCGCGTTACAAATGTTGCTCTATGATAGGCTGATTCTGAACACAAATCTTAAAGAATTAAGATTTAATAAAAAAATTAAATTAAGTTAAATTAAAAAAATTAAATAGAAAGGCCAAGGAAGAAACTCCAAAGAGTCTTCTATCTTCTCCTTTTGAGGCAGGTATTCACAACACTGTTCACCCATTTTGTTTTAAGAAATATCGAATTTCCCCGGCAGACTTACTCATATTCAAATGCAAATAAAAAAGGGCTGGGAAGGGGGCACTCCCAAGTCAAATACAAACAGCTTTGGAGATTATAACCAGTCAAGTATGTATCTGCACAAAATACTCTTCTCTCAAAAGATGTACAATAAGAATCACATCACTTAATTACTTTTAAGGATAAAACGTAAATAACAGAAGTTTTATTTCTCTCAAATGCGTTTTCTTACCAAGTTCTATTTTTCTCTTTTTAGACACGAAGGTTAAGTTTAGATTAGATTACAGTGGGGTTGCACACACATAATAACGAGAGTAACCCAACACCAGGCCTAGCAGTAGGAAAAGCCTCACCCAGAATTAAATGCAATTCGGATGAAGAGAAAGAGATTTAAAAAAAGAGAGAGAGAGAGATTTCATATGTAAATAAGAGTTAGCCATGCTTTCATCTCTACAAATTTAAAAGTTATGGGCTCGCTACAAGAAATTCAATGTATATTACCTATCTGTTAAGAAGGCACAGATGAGATTCTTCGCATGTTTCGAAATTTCTGCATCTTCAGGGAAACATAGTGAGTTTTTATGATCCATAATTTTGCTATATGTTCCTACAAGTGAATCTGCATAAAATGGAGTATCTCCTAAAATTCCAAGAAAGAAGACATGGTGTATAACAGAGAATGCAAATTAAACACTTTTCATTTATTATTTAAATATGTTAACTTTACATTTGTCAGGCGCCTAGAAGAACAAATGAATTCAAAGTTTTTCTAAGGTCATTTTTCACTGCAGTAGAGCCCTCTAAGTGAGGTCCAGCGCTCACTAACCTGAGCAGGTAGGCCCCAGTTAGCCTAGGATACAGTACATCAGTGTCATTCAAACTCATTAAATTCAATTCTCAGAAGGCAAACCATGAGAGACTCTTGAATGCTGACAAAAACTGAGGACTGATGGATGTGGGGGGGAGGGGGGGATGGGCATGGAAGAGGACACTTGTGGGGATGAGCACTGAGTGTTATGTGGAAACTAATTTGACAATAAACTATTTGTAAAAAAAAAAAAAAAAAAAAAGAAAAAATTCAATTCTCAGAGTTGAAAACAACAACAGGAATTTAAATGTCCCTTCAAAGGAGTCATGTGACTTCCTCAAAAGCACACTGTTTTTCTAAATCCCTAGAAGATTTCAGGAAAATCCTAGGTTATATTCTACTTTCAAAAGATTACAAAATACACCTAATGTGTCATCAGTTGGGGCCAGAGGTGGGGAGAATGGACAGCCACCAGGGAACTTACTCTGCATATAAAGGTGCACTACAGAAACAACGGCCCAAAACAAAATAGGTCATACAACGACAAGAGTTTAAGCACAGCAAGATCAATATTACATACACAAGGTGGTCACCAAGAGAAGGCAATTTATGCCACAAAAAATGTTCCGTGGCTGATTATTATTTAAATTTGAGACTTACCAAAATATTCTCATCTTTTTGTTAGTAATAATCATACTCAACTATCCCACAGATTCTCCGGATTTTCTGCTACCAATTTTTTTAGGGTCATCCTCTAGAAAACAGATTCTTCAATTTCTAAATATATATTTTCAACTCTGAAGTTATTTCATATAATGTTACCAGCCTTATCACACTTGCCTTATAAAGTAGATTTAGCTATATCTGCCTCATCCCTGAGCCAGATGATTCAGTCAGTGGCTTCCTTAGCCAGAAGATATTTTTGTGACCCTAGTACTTTGGAATTGGAAATCTCAAGAATGAAATCTATGATGTAAACAAAAGTTCTGAAATACATGAACCTTTCAAATGTTCATTTGGTCAAAGTGAAAGAAATTATTAAATAGGCCTCTGAGTTTTCTGAGAATGAAATATTATTATAAAATATTTTTATCTTGATAGTCAAATTGGTCAATACCTATTTATGATTTATTTTACTATATTTACTAACCATAAATACAAGTAATAAACAGAAGAAACACAGCTGACAAAAATCAATTATGTAACATAATTACATAAACAAACTAAAGAGTACTTTTAGTCCTCTATTATTGTTGAAACAAATATACCAGCTTTATATTTAAAACATTCACAACAAATACTATTGATCAAGAAAATCTTGGACTTGAGGCCCACTGCAGCTGTAAACTTGATTCTTACTCTAACAATGCCTTCCTACAAAAAGGTCTACTGAAGGATTATTTCCCACCAGTATACTTTCAATTCCTTTCATAATCCACTAAATCACTATCCCAGTACAAAGGTTGGTTTTAATTTTCCAATAACCACCTGTCATATCTGATAAAATTCCACGTTTTTAAAAATTCCACTTTTGGGGCACCTGGGTGGCTCAGTCGGTTGGGTGTCCGACTTCGGCTCCGGTCAGGATCTCACAGTTCATGGGTTCGAGCCCCGCGTTGGGCTCTGTGCTGACAGCTCAGAGCCTGGAGCCTGCTTCAGATTCTGTATCTCTCTCTCTGACCCTCCCCTGCTCACGCTGTCTCTCTGTCTCTCAGAAATAAATAAAACATTAAAAAACTTTTTTAACTCTACTTCTTCCATAGCATACAATTAATTTCCTTATATTCTCAAACTCTTGACTTAAAACTAAAGTGGTATGAGATGATTTTTTTAAAGAAGGACAAATTAAAATATTTACTTACCCACCAGCATCTCAAAAAGGAAAACACCCACAGACCACCAATCACATTCTCGCCCATAGTAACCATCACCCCCTTGTGATTTGAGAACTTCAGGTGAAATATAATCAGGTGTTCCAACTGCTGTATCACAATGCACCATGCCTGTCTGGGTAAAGAGCAGAGGTAAGGAAAAACAGTTGTATGTAAAAACATACACACATAAATGCAACTAATTCAATTATTACTATATACACAGTGGCTACAAATTGCTACCAATAAAACTTCACTGCTGACATAGCTTTGGGAGGACAGGAGTTAAATGTATTATGAGATGCTTAAAAGTGTCAGGATTACAGGGAAATCAAGGATAACTTCAACTCTAAAGTACAGGAGGCTTCATCCATGAAAGAAGTCATGATTCCATGAAAATCAACATCTTCTGTTTCTTTTTCTTGCAATACTAATTAGTTAAGAGGACAATTACAAGGAAGTACAAAATTTGATCTTAAGGCACTGACCTGGGGAAAAGAATTAGGAAGCTTTGGCATTTTCAAAGGAAAAGGCAGTACTTAAGATTACAAAGAGCCTAGTTTGGAGGCTGGTTAAAAACAGTTCTTATTATCAAGAAAAAAAATGAGGGAGACAGACCTAATGTTTAAATTAAAAGATCTTAACAGTTTCAAAGCAATACCACTAAGCTGCATATTTAGAAATACAGAGCTACGACATGAAGGTATTTGACAAAATGATAAAAACACCTTTATCTGTGTTTAGTTTGGGTGTGTAATAAGATACTCTTTATCTGATGTCTTTTTGACAAGGACAAGAACCACCGTAAATACACACATGTGTGTATGTTGTAGTCTATGTGTGTGTGCGTGTATGTTTGTATTATGTGTGTGGGCTGTAAAATTAAATCACTGTAACAGTATAACACTAAATAATACTCATTCACCTCTAGCTCTGTCCAAACTTGCTAAGATTTTATAGATTATTTTAAATGCCCTCCATTTCCTTTACCTGCCCCGTAAAGAGTATGTCACCCACACCACTCATAAGGAAGCTATATAAATTCCCCCAGTACTAAGTATTATGACCACTTTGTGAAAAGGCAGTTCCATGTATTTTATAAATATGATTTATGTAAATGTATCTAATTGCAATAAAATTAATCATGGGAAATTAATTTCAAAAACAATCTTTTCATTCCTCAAATTAGCAACAATAACTGAATGATTTTACTTTCCCAAAAATATAGCAAATAGAGCTGAGAAGTCATTTTAGTTTGAATATAAATAAAATAAAAGTTCTGAAAATAATTGGGCATATTATGAGGGAGATAATTTGTATGGATCAGTACTAAGGATAAAAGATGAAAAACATCAGTATCTGGCTTCAAAATGTAGAGCATAAAATTAATTTTTATCATGGACTATCCTATACTTCCATTATAGGAAACATTAAGAGGCTTGTCAGAGTAAAAGGTTTATTTTTTTTGAGAGGGAGAGACAGAGAAAGAGAGAGCGAGGGCACAGGTGTGAGGGTGAGAGGGGAAGGGGGAGAGAGAGAGCGAGAGCGAGAGAGAGAGAGAGAATCCCCTCTGTGCCCTGGCTGAGCCTGACACAGGGGTCAATTACACTAACTGCGAGATCATGCCCTGAGCTAAAATCAGAAGCTGGACACCCAACCGAACCACCGAGGTACCCCAGAAATTAGACTTAAAAAAATTATTTAGCATTCAAAGGTTTAGAGGAAGGAGAGGAAAGGGTAAGACACAAAAGTAACTGGCATAAAGTTAGGCTGTAAGGGAGGGATAAGTTAGGCTTTAAAGGAGAGACCATGGCATGACAGCTTAGGCAGAAAAAAGAGCAAAAATAAAGAAACAAGAATGACTTCATATAAAGCATATTCAAGAAATGTAGTGAAGTCCAAATCAGCTAACAGTAAAGTTCCATGATGATGAAGATGGGAAAGGTAAGATGGAGATCAATGTTAATAATCACTTGCAGAAGAAATACTTTGGCAGGACTAAAGAACCCAGTTAATAGCACTCTGCTTTCGGGAAAATAAATATTCCAACCATAGCTTTTGACCAGCATAGTGGAGGTTAAAAACTTTTTTTAAAAACGTTTGGAAAAGATATTTTAAAATTCTCTCATGGAGAAGTTCTCATATTATGTGAATACAGAATCCACATTTATGACAAGTCTCTTATCATATTCTAAAGAAGTACAAAAAGGATAAACCAGAAACTAAAAAGACCTCGTTTCCCTACGGGGTGGTGGGTGGGACCAGAGGGGAAAGAAGGAAGTATGGGAATGGGGTGTGAGGAGTAGGGAGGGAGGGCTCCTTCTCTGAGCACGCAATTTGTACAGTTTTAACTCTTAAAACCAGGGAAATGTTTCACATATCCTAAAAACTATAAATAAACAATATCAACCAGGATGTGAAGGAGGTACACTAAATGGAATACAAATAGTAAGGAGAAATGAACCTGTTTTATAAATTAATAACAATCACATCAAATGGGGTAAGGATGAAAAGAACTGACCTAAGTAACTTTGAAAAACAGTATCTTTAACACACACATACTATAAGGTTAAACACAAAAGGATCTGCACAAAAAATAATACATTCTAATTAGTAAGTCTGTTTGTCACAGAGGTAGGAATTGGTAATTCAGAAATAATTTTTAGGATATCCTAGAATTGAACAATAGGTAAATATACTGTAGATAATGAGAGCCAGGTTTCTCGCTGACTAAAAAAGCAATTACCAAAAAGACAGGAGAAGGTAAGAATGAACGCTGTGGTGCAGGACAGGAACCACAAGTATCAGTATGAACAGGACCTCAGGAGCCTATGTATACAGACTGACAACACAGAATGAAATACAAATGTGTGTGCCTACGGATTAGCACATATAATCTATCTGGTATACGTCTGTCTGCTGACAAGGCCTAGAAATAATGACACTTCAGAAGCAAGAAGCACACTGAGCGCCCAAATACTGATTTCTAAATACCATTCTTGTTGTTGTTGTTGTTAAGTTTTATTTATTTATTTGGGGGGGGGGGGTAGAGGGGAGGGAGAGAAAATCGCAAGCAGGGTTCACACCGCCAGCACAGAGCCCAACATGGAGCTGGATCCCACGGACTGCAAGACCATGACCTGAGCTGAAACCCAGAGTCAGACACTCAACCAACAGACTGAGCCATCCAAGCGCCCCTCTAAATACCATTCTTGAATAAAACAAATCTGAGCTTCTTAGAGAAGTGGCTGATTCCAGAGCTGGGACACAGAAAACACAAGACAAGCCTTCAACTTACAGTGACAAAAAATAAGAAAATGCTCCAAAAAGGAGGTGTGTCAAAAGGACATAGGAGATGACATAAGGAGCCTTTGCAAGATAACCAAACTTTGGAGTGAGTTTCAAGGCATGAGTAGGAATCTGCCAAGTAAACTGTATTCAACATCAGGTATGAAGGCCACAAATCACGAAATTATGGATTTCGTGACATTAAAAAAAAACACAACTAAATGTAATTTAAGACCCCTGAACTGTAAAGTACAAAAAAGGTCAAATGATAGAGAATGAGGTTGAAAAGTGAAAGGGATCATATCATCATAAGAAACTTCATATGACAAGCTAAGGAGTTTCAACTTTATTCAGTAGATGACAGATATCTACACAAGGGCTTTAAGCAGGAGAGCAACATAAACAGGTATATGAATATTCAAAACTTCCTCATGAATACTTGCTTTAAATGGATCAGATTAAATGTTTATTTGCTAAAAACAAATCTGGTGTTTTATAATGGACAAAATATCACAAATGGAGAGAATTAATGAAAACACAAAATCGGTCCATCACAAATCATGAGGTCGATCCAAGAAACTATTCTAAAAGCTCCCTCTAACGGGGCGCCGGGGTGGCTCAGTCGATTGAACACCTGACTCTTGATTTCAGCTCAGGTCATGATCTCTTGTTTCTTGGGTTTGAGCCCCGTGTCAGGCTCTGGCTGACAGCAGGGGGCTTGCTTGAGATTCTCCATCTCCCTCTCTCTCAGTCCCTTCCCCACTCACATGCTCTCTGTCTCAAAAATAAATAAATAGACCTCTAAAAAGTAATAATAAATACCACCTGTGAAAGTGAGAAAAACTGTAAATGGAGTTCTTCATTACCAGATGCATTAAGAGCCTCAGCTTGACTGCTACATAGGCAGGAGCCCATTCGGTCATTTTAATAATTAAAAATGAGTACTTGCACCAGGAGCTCCTTTCTCAAACAGGCATATCCCCAGCCACATACCCTTCTTGGGCTGGTGGAAAGTCCTGCTTCTTCGTGTGCTCTATCTATCTAAAAAAACAGTCCAACTGGTTTAGAACCCCATCGCCGTTTGCACTACACAGTGCCCAAGGCACAAAATGCTGCCTGTTATTTCAGTTGCCTCCTGGGTACCAATTATTACTTTCATTAGGGCTCTGGTTACAAAGCTGCAAAGCTTTTGAATGGTCTGTCCCTACTGCCTCCAAAAACCTGTTCTTTTTAATGTATAATTTTGCAGAAAACAGGGTTTCTTTTTTCAGAAACCCAAGCAGAAACACCTCCCTTTTTAAAAACTGATGTCATTTGTAGAAGAGTTAAGAACATTAACAATTTACCAACTAGCTTTTAAAGAAGTAGAGCCTCAATTTAATCAAACAGTATACACCAGAATATTAAGGGATACAATTTTACATTAGTTTTAGGTAATTTAAAATACTAATGTAAAATGTGCCTTCGACGTTGGTAAAGGTGACTATGAAATGCATAATGACAAGCAAAGAGGGAACTCAATTTACCTAATAAAGCAAGCAATTTTTAACAGCAGTTACTTCTTGGCTATCACGGAGACACACCTAGATATACTCACTGGGACATTCACCCACATCTACGTATTTTTTCCAGAGAGAAAAAGAGTAACAGAATCAAAATAAACTGTGTAAACCACAATTTATTAATGAGAGAACTTAATGAGATATACCATTACTCTTAATGAATTGTGATAGTAACAAATTATTTCAGTCTTTGTATAATTTTAGTTGTATTTTAGTTTTGCATTTATCCATGGCATAGTTTTTCATATGATGCCAGAAGAGCTAAAAAAATAATTTGAGAATCTCAGTCTATACTGTAGTAAAAGGATGGCAAACTTTCCTTTAAAGGGCCAGTAAATATCTTAGTAATATTTAGTAAATATTTTAGGTTTTGTGGCCACACAGGATCTCTACCAACTACCTTCTTTTTTTAAAAAACAATCTTTTAAAAATGGACAAACCATTGTTAGATTTTTTTAAATGTTTTTATCTATTTCTGAGAGAGAGAGAGACAGAGCAGGGGAGGGTCAGAGAGAGAGGGAGACACAGAATCTGAAGCAGGCTCCAGGCTCTGAGCTGTCAGCACAGAGCTCTACGCAGGGCTCGAACCCATGAACTGTGAGATCATGACCCGAGCCGAAGTCGGACACCTAACCGAGTCACCCGGGCACCCTGACAAACCATTGTTAGGACAAGAGCTGTATAAAACAGGCCACAGGCCACACCTGAACCCACACCCCAGTGAGCCAATCCCATCCACAGACATGCAGACGAGAGAGAATGAAGCCAGGTGCACCTCTAACAACTTTGAGGCCATAACGGTAATCAAACAGAGGCAGATAAAGTGATGAGCCTGAAATCTGCAACAGCACTATTTACATTAGCAGTTAACAGAACAAGATTATAAATTCTATGTACTATATATAGTTTTTAATTTAAAAATTCCTTTGTTCCTCAACATCGTGGTTCTTCTTCTTCTTCTTCTTATTATTATTACTTGAGGCATGGAAGTTTGCGATAAAACATTTTTATATTTCAATATTTAAAAAACACATTTTTCACTATGTTGAAATTAAGAATTTCTGTTCAAAAGACACAAATGGGTAGCTGACTGGAAGATGGTAACAGCAATATCTGTGGAATCACTATCGAGATTATATAAGGAATTTTTGCACATGAACAAGCTGATTTTTAAAAGGGTCAAAAGACATGCACACAGTAATTCATGAGCTAAATGACTGGCAATCATATGAAGAAAAGTTTGACATCATTAGTTATGAAATACAATTTTTTTAAAACCTACTACCTTACACTCACAGAATTGGTAAGATCGAGAGAGTGAATAATAAGAGAGGTGAGTGGCAGCACAGAGAGACGGGATTTCTAACGCACTACACCAGCAAGAGGCTGTGACAATCATAGCCACTCCAGACGGCAGGCCAGGCAGTACTGTAGTTACGTATCCTGAGTCAGCAGCCCCATCTCTATGTAGGTATGTTGAAGAAACCCTTGTCACAATACACATGGGACACATCTAAACAAGTTCAACACCTAAGTGTCACTGGGTTCAACATAGCACTGCTGGTGCCCTGCAGGGGGATGGATGTGGCCTGGGAATCCAACATAAGGAAGAATAAGTAAAACTGATAGATAAATACTATGGGATACTAAGAAGCAATGAGCTATTTTACAGATACTAGAAAAGATATAAAACAGTGTTGAGTGAAAAGAGTAAAAAAAAAAAAAAATGACATCCATACTATTATACTATTTATACATATGTACACCATATTAACAATGTGTAAGAACTTACAGTAAACACATGATATTGGTTGTTTATTAGGAAAAGAGAGAATAAGACTGAAACAGCAACAGGGGAAACATCATGAAATAAAAACATGATGAAGTCTTCTGTTGGCTACTAACAACAATGAGTGATGAACCAAGGAGGATAATTAGTTCAGTTATACGTACCTGAATTAAAAAACAGTACATAAAATTATATAAACCACATTCTATTTTGCCTTATAGACAATTCAAGATATTTAAATTGCTAAATTTAGTATTCACTTACATGCCTGTAAAATTATTTTATAAATATATTAAAATATATATTTTATAAATACCATATTCAGTCCTCTCTCTCTCTCTATATATATACACATATATGTACATATATATGTTATATATATATATGTGTATATATATATATATATATCCTTCTTTCCTTAAACATCTTTACTATCCTAAAAACATGTGATGTGACTTATTTCTCTACACCCTCCCAAAAAGTTTTTGCTTTAATTAAAATCAGATACACTCATGGAAGCACAACACAACAACATTATTCACTTTGTACAACAGACATGAAAAAGTTTAGCATTCTATTAGAAAATTATTTTATACTTTATTTTCATTAAAGATAATTTTTACTATTAACCATTTCATACTATTTACTATTAACTATTTCACACCACCAGAGGGAGCTTTGGGGACAAATGCTCCATCTACTAAACACGGACTAATGTATGCAGAACACAGACACAACGACAAAATCTATGAAGAAGACCAAAGAAGAAGGAATGTTAAGTATTAGTTGAGTAGACAGGACATACAAACCTAGATACGTAAAAATGGCCTATGAAATACAGCACAAATTCTAAATAAGTAAGAACATTAGAAAAGTGATCAGGGGCACCTGGGTGGCTCAGTCAGGTAAGTGGCAAACCTTGGCTCAGGTCATGATCTTGCAGTTCGTGAGTTTGAGCCCTGAGTTGGGCTCTGTGCTGACAGCTCAGAACCTGGATCCTGCTTCAGATTCTCTCTCCCTCTCTCTCTCTCTTTGTCCTTCCCCCTAAATCATGCTCTGTCTGTCTCTCTCGCTCTCTCAAGAATAAACATTTTAAAAAATTATTAAAAAAAAGAAAAGTGATCAGTTAGGTTAGGATTATGAGGAAGAACTTTCTAAAGGAAGTAAAATCTGAGCAGAGCTTGAAACAGTACAGATCGCTGTGATGGAGGCAGTATGATCTTAAAATTGAATGTCACACAGGTGGCATGAGTAAGAGGTAAAGAGAAAAGAAAATCAGCTTACTTCAAAATAAATATCTTTAGAAGATATTCTGCTTTTCTTTGATAAGATATTCTGTTTAAGAAATATGAATAGGTATATAAGCATACTGGAAGGTTGCAAAAACCATACAATAGATGATACCTAGTTTGCTGTCAATTTACGTTAACATTTTAAAAGTCTGATGTATGTAAGTCACCTCCTCAAGATCCCATAGGGAAATTAAAAAACAAAACCAAACAGATATTATACAGTATACTTACAGAGAAAAAGATAAGAGATATAAATTTTACAACAAAAATAAATCAACATGATTAGCTATGACATTAACACTACTAAATCTATTGATCAAAATGTGAATTGTTTACCAGGTAAAGTACACAACAGATGATGTCCCCAAATTTATTCAATGTGGTTGATGCAGACAGGGTTGGTAGGTGATGGTATCATAAACTTCTTAACTTAGCTTTTTTTTTTTTTTTTTAAGGAAAAATACAGAAATAATAATGGTAATGGAAATACCCATGTATCTTAATTTATATCTTGTGTCTTATTTCTTGACCTGGATCATTTTACACATGAACTGGTTTTGACTGGTAGCAACTGCTTATCAACATTCTGTGAGGAATATCCCCGAAGTTATCTGCATTCTTATTTCTCTTACATTCACCAAATCTAATACTATTTAATTATAAATAAAGCACTGTGTAACTAGATGATCAGTTTTAAAAAAAGGTTTATTATGTTTTAGTTACTACACAGTTAGCAAAACTAAATTTATCTTTGTTCAAGATAATAAAGTCAAGATTGAAGTTTCTTTTTGTTTTTAAAAAGTAGCATTTTTTTTTTTACTTGTTTATTACTTACTTCATCCATCTTCATACATGTGCCAAAATCTGCCAACTTGAGATGTCCGTGTTTATCCAAGAGCATGTTGTCAGGCTTCACGTCTCTGTGAATGAGGCCCATGGAGTGAATGGCGTCCAGAGCGAGCACCACCTCAGCGGTATAAAACTTGGCCCACTTCTCAGGCACATCATAGTTACTCATAAGGTTTACAAGATCTCCACCAGGCATGTACTCCATTACCATGTACAGATACTTATCATCTTGAAAAGCACAAAAGAGCTAGAAAACAAAATGGGAAGGAAAAAAAATGATTCCTTAGGAAAAAGAAAACCAAAAGTTTAACTGGAACAAAACCCAAAACAATTATTACTACTGAAAAAGGCAAATTATTTTACAACCAAAAGAGTTTAATTTTATGAAATCTTTGACAGGAAAACAGTTATCAGACAAAACTTTTTATGTGGTTATCTTCTTTGTGCATATTGACAAGAAATACATAAGTGAATCAGTTTCCCTCTTAAAGAATACAAGTATCTATTTAAATAAAACTGTTTAAAAGATGGGTGCCTGGGTGGTTCAGTCGGTTAAGCATCTGACTTCAGCTGAGGTCATATCTCGCGATCCATAGCTCAAGCCCTGCGTCGGGCTCTGTGCTGACAGCTCAGAGCCTGGAGCCTGCTTCAGATTCTGTGTCTCTCTCTGTCCCTCCCCTACTCATGCTCTGCCTCTCTGGCAAAGATAAACATTTAAAAAAAAAAAAAAAAGGAGTATTTTTAAAAGAGAAACAGAGGAAGAATGAGGAACACAAAAAGTACAAAAAATGACCAAAGAATTCATATTTAAAAAAACCAATTTTCTGAAAACAGAACAAGTTAATGCACATAATTCACAGAGAAGAAAACTGAGGAGATAGAGGTAGTTAAGGAAAACCTTTGAGACACGGCATTCAATGGATGTAAGAGGGAGGAGGCACCACAGCGCTGGAAAAGAGGGAGTCCTTGGTGGCCACAGTTAAAACAGGGCCTTCTCCTCTCTCCGAGTCTCTACAATTTGCTCATAAGCAGCGTGTAGCAGTGCTACCAGCACCTAGACTAGAGCAGTGGCACTGGGACCAGAGAAATCACACCAAGCTAGCAGAGACGGGAATCACGAATTCAGAACTAAAGTTATCTGTACATTCCACCCCACATGCTCTACCCCATCTCCCAGAAGCAAACAACGCAAACAGAAAAGGTTTCCACAAATAAGGAAAAAAAAGAACAAAAGCAATAACTCATACTCAAAATATAGTAAAAGAATTCCTACAAATCAATTATTTCAAACAGACAACCAAATGGGAAAATGAGAAGACTTAAAGCACCCATAAGAAGATAGTCAAAGATAAAAAGACATGAAATCTCATTAATGAAAGGTAAATTTAAACCACTGTGAAAGAAATACCACTTCACATGCACAAAAATGATCAAAACTTTTAAAAGTGGCAATACCAAGTGCTGGCAAGGACAAAAGTAACTTATAAACTAAACTTCTATAACCACATTGAAGAAAAAGCTATTACCACCTACTAAGACTAACTATAGGTCACAAAAATGCCACTCCTAGGAATAAACCCAACAGAATTAAGTACAAGAACATTTACACTACTTGCAACAAATAAAATTTTAAAATATACCAACAAATTATTTTATACACACACACACACACACACACACACACACAAACACACAATGGAATAAAACACAGCAATAAAATTAATAAACTGTAGCAATCTAGATAACTCATGCCAACATAATGCTCAACAAAAAAAGTTAGATACTAAAGAAGAGATATTCAGTGATTTCGCTTATATAAAGTTCAAAAAACAGGAAATTAAAGATCCTGAGTGCTTGTTTGGGTGGTACACTAGAAGGAAAAGCAAGGGAATAATGACTAATAAAATCAGAAGAGTGGTTACTTTCAGGGGCATACATAGAGGTAGTGATTAGGAAAGAATACAAGAGAACTTCAAGAATTCTGGCAACGTTTATTTTCTGACCTGGGTAGTATATACATGGGCGTTTGCTTTGTGATAAGTCCTTCTGCCGTCTGTTTTATGTATTTCTTGGTGTATATCACAAATAAAATCTTTTTTTTTTTTTTTAAAGTATGGTATGGGGCACCTGGGTGGTTCAGTTGGTTAAGTGTCTGACTTTGGCTCAGGTCATGATCTTACAGTTCATGGGTTTGAGCCCCACATCAGGCTCTGTGCTGACAGCTTGGAGCCTGGAGCCTGCTTCGAATTCTTTCTCTTTCTCTCTCTCTGTCCCTCCCCTGCTTGCACTCTGTCTCTCTTTCTCTCAAAAATAAATAAACATGAAGAAAACAATTTTTTAAAGGCAAAATTTTTTAAGTATGACAAAATTAAAGCAGAACTCAAAAGGAAATTTATAATTTCAAATGCATTTATCAATATTCTTCCCTATCCTTTCACTATCCAATAGTCACATCCAATAGTCCATGCGTTGGTAAGTAAGGACAATAAAAATTAGGCAGATAAAGAAACTGGAAAAGAACAATATAAACCTAAAGAAAACAGGAACTATGGATTTTTTAAAGCAGAAAATTAAAAAGGAAACCATTTATTTTGTAAACAGAACAAAAAAACATGTTAAGACTAAAAGATATACATATACTCTGTTCAATAAAAAAGCGAAAGAGAAGAGACACAGTCGCAGAAAATGTAAACGGACTCAAGAGGTAAATAAAAACCTGAATTAGTCAAATATCACATGAGGGGAAAAAAAGGATGATGAAAGACTAGCTGGGAAGAAGGAAAGGAGGGATTGAGTACAGAAAAAACATCTGAGTTTTAGGATAGGAACTCTCTCTGAGAAGAAAGGGTAGCTCGAGTAGGAGAGTAAAAAGTATTTCAAGAATTCATGTAATTTTTTAGTACTTCAAAATTAAAAGATTAAAACTAGCTATGGGACAATGTTAAAATTTGCTAAACATATGTAAGACTGAAACCAAAGAATGCTTCCAGATGGCTTATTTATTAGGCAAGCAAGAAAAGCCATTTAGCAAGGGCAAATTAATTAAGTTGCGTTTGACTGCATCAGCAGAAGAAATGTGTATAGAGGAAATCAACTCAAGACTACGGTCTTTCAGTAACAGTTGCTGAAAGAGTTGAGGCCACTGGGGGTAACATCAGCAGTCAATTAAAAAACAAGGCAGACGATTTTGAATGGTTTTTCTCAGCTCTTGATGATTCAACAGATGTTACTGATACTATGCAGTCATTACCGTTTACTGGAGGAGTAAGTGCCAAGTTTTAAGTGAGGAAAGAATTAGCCTCTATGAACAGTCTGCATAGACCAAGTACAGACAAAAATATTTTCAAAGAAGTTGAGAAAATACTAATTCAGTACAAACTGAAGTAGGATCTAGTAGGTGTGTTAACAAAAGACGGTAGTAAAAATATATGTGAGGCAGAAAAGTCTTCATTGGACAAAGTTACAAAGCTTGTGAAAATGTATGATATTTAAGTCTGTAGTTATCCTCTGTAATACCGAAGCTCATGTAATAAATAAGTAAGTCCTATTCATGTTTGTTATTTGCTCTTTGTGGATGTAATTATCATCATCTGTTTTTGTCAGAAACAGAAGCTGAAGACCCTGACTCACTCCACTGTACAGTAGTTCCGGGGGCTTAGCACTGGTAAAGTTTTACTGCAATTATCTGAGCTTAGAGCTGAAACTGAAATGTGTCTGATCAAATTGGGTCCCAAAGCCTAAAATATGCACTATCCACCCCTTTACGAAATAAAAAATTTGCCAATTTCTGGTGTGACTGAAATAAGATTGGCCATGGTTGGTACCTGCTGAAGTTGACTGAACAGTACATGGGGATTCAATATACTTTCCTTCTACTTTGGAATACGTTTGGAATTTATCATAATAAATTTTACAAGCTAAAATATTTGTCATTAAATATGCTGAAAATTTTTGCTTACAAGATTTACAAGCAAGGAGTACCTGAGTGGCTTAGTCCATTAAGTGCCTGAGTTCAGCTCAGGTCATGATCTCACGGTTTGTGAGTTCGAGCCCCACGTCAGGTTCTGTGCTGACAGCTCAGAGCCCAGAGTCGGCTTCAGATTCTGTCTCCCTCTCTCTCTGCCCCTCCCCCAATCTCAAAAATAAATAAACATTAAAAAAAAAAAAAAGATTTGCAAGGAAGTTCAATCCAGCCTCATGGAATGAATAGTTTAGTACAAACTGTACTAAAGCTCAGGAAAAAAAAATGGTATGTTTCTCAACTGTTGATTATAGTCGTCGCACCATGATATGAAAACCAACCAAGAAAGCCCATGTTAAAAAGAAAAAACTTTGAAAATTTAAAAAAACCCTGAATTAAATACAAGGTCTAATGTCACTTATACAAACAGATGAATAATTCCTTAAAATATTAGTAAATCAAATTCAGTCCTCTATTCAGAATATAAAATTATAGCAAATGGCATTTTCTTTAAATTTTATACTACCTTGAAAAAAAATTTTAGTGTACTATAATAACAGATTAAACAAAAAAATCTTAAAAGCAACTGAAGAAAAGCACTTTAAATACTTCAACATTATTTCAGATTAAAAAGTACCTGGTAAGCTAAGCACAGACATAGGCCAAATCCTTTACTTCTCAGTCAGAAGCTTCAACAAACATCAGACTTAATCATTATGTTTAAAATAATAAAAAGATAAGAATAAACATTTCTTCTAATTCAACACTATACTGAAAGACTGAACCAATGCTATTTTTTGGCATTTATAATGTCTACATATTTAAAAACTAGTTTTCTTGTGCATGAGTTTCTTCTGAACATATTTGATGTCAAAAAGTAATATGGTTTTACTGAAAACCAAACCATATACAAAGAGACATACAATCCTGTTATGGGAGGCATTAATATTCTAAAATAATCCAAAGAACCAAAAATATCTATGAATTAAAGCAATGCAAAAAAATTGTAACTGCATTTTTTAACAGAATGAATGGCCAATTCTAACTTCATAGAAAAGAAATGGTAAGAACTGCCACAAAAACATTAAAAAAGGAAAACAATGAGAAGACTTGCCCTACCAGATACTAAAATATATGAAAAACTACAGAAATTGAAACAATGTGATTTTTTTTAATTTTTTAAATATTTTATTTATTTCTGAGAGAGAGACACAGCATGAACAGGGGAGGGTCAGAGAGAGAGGGAGTTCCAGAATCCGAAACAGGCATCAGGCTCTGAACTAGCTGTCAGCACAGAGCCCAACGCGGGGCTCGAACCCACGAACCGTCAGATCATGACCTGAACCGAAGTTGGACACCTAACTGACTGAGCCACCCAGGCGCCCCAAAACAATGTGATTTTAGTGTAGGAATAAATAACAAATCAAAGTAACAAAATAGAGACAAAAGAAATTCATGTATATATGGTAATTTAGTCTATGATATAAAGGACATTTCATTTATATCATGGGAAAAAAGGCTTTTGTACAAATGATATTGGGCATGGCTGCCCACTTGTGAAAAACAAGTCTCACACGTATAAAAAAATAAATTCCTGATGACTCAGAAACACACTCCCACTCCTCTCAAAATTAAAATATAAAAAGTTAAAGAAAGTGTAAAAGAATATTTTTATAATTTGGGAGTGGGGAAGGTATTCCCCAGCAATAATAAAAATACAGAATGCATGGATGTGACTACATTTATGTCTAAAAATTCAATAAGCAACAAATAATAGTCCAAGAGAATATATTTCCAACATATATAACAAAGAATTATTATACAGGGTCTATTAGCATTCTAATAAATCAATTTTATTTTTTTAATTTTATTTTTGACAGAGCAAGAGCGAGTGCAAGCTAGTCAGGGAGAGGCAGAGAGAGGGGGAGACACAGAATCTGAAGCATGCTCCAGGCTCTGAGCTGTCAACACAGAGCCCGACCCCACAAACTATGAGATCATGACCTGGGACAAAGTCAGGTGCTTAACACTTAACCAACTGAGCCACCCAGTTTTAAATCCATTTTTAAAAAGCAAAACAACACACAGAAAAATGGGATAAGCAATGAAGAAATACAAATTACTAATAAGCATATGGAATATCCTGAACCTCATAATTAACCAAGGAAATGCAACTTAATACAATAACATCTTTTTTTCTTGAGTATGTGACTAATAAAAATTTTAAATACAGTATCTGGTATTGGCTAAATGTGTAGTGAAATTAAAATATTAAATAATTAATTAGAGTAATATAAACTTATAAAAACCTTTTTTTACACGGTAGTTTGCAACTATCTATCAAAGCGTCAAATGTGCACACCATATGACCTAGCAAATCCAATGCCAGGAATCTATTCTAAGGACAAATTCATCCATGTATTAAAAGATGGAGCTATCAGCATGGTTAATTCCACAACATGGGCAGAAAATGTACAAGACTGGTCTGGAACCTCCCACTATATCAGACAGCAAGCTCTCAAAGACTGCTACGGTTACATCAAAAGGCCTCGGGAACTGAGGTGCCTGGGTGGCTCCGTCAGCTGAGCATTCATCTTTAGCTCAGGTCATGAGCTTGCGGCTCTTCAGTTCAAGTCCCACACAGGAGTCTGTGCTGACAGCTCAGCGCCCGGAGCCTGCTTTGGATTCTGTGTCTCCCTCTCTTTCTGCCCCTCCCCCACTTGTGCTCTGTCTCTCTCAAAACTAAACAAACATTTTAAAAAAGAAAAGGACTCAGGAACCAACCCGAACAGGATATCATTTGCCAAAAGTGTCAAAATTTGAGCATCAATAAGATATTCAAAGGACTGAAACATTAAACAGGTTTTGAGTTCAGATTGATACTCCCCCAAAATGTTTCACCTTTGAAGAATAAAAGGAAACTAATCCTTTACTTTGAAAACTGGTAAACACAGCGAGGAAAAAGTTATTCATCCTGTCCTTCCTGACCTTTTCTACCCAGAAATTACACTACTGGGTAACCAAATAGTAAATGGAATATTTTCGTTCACAGAACTATTCCAGTCACTACAGTAAAAAAAAGAATGACTGGGAGGGTAAGAAAGGAATGGCCAAATTGGAGTATCACCATTCTGAAACGCTTGATTAAGCACAAGTGGCTGGTAAGGTAACAGCGAAACCAGACACTGGCCTAAGAGAAAAATCACTGCTCATGGAGCTGTCCTGCCAGCGTCTCAAAAACCATACCTGATTCTGACCCTGTGTGTCCAATTAGCGACTGACAAGAGTACAAATGAGAGGGATGTGTTAAACTACACAAACACAAAAATGAGCAAAATCCAGATTTCTTCAACAAATAAACTGAGGAGACAAAAGAAGAGGAGAGAAACCCTAGATTAAAGACTTAAAAGAGATACCTAAACTTAAATTTTACAAAAAGCTAATAGTAAACTAAAGTATTTAAGGGTACCCACCTACTTAGCTGTATAAAACTATAAAGAAAAATAAGGAAGTGTTCACCATAAAAGTATGGACATTAGAAAAACAGGCAAACAACACAGCAAACTGAATATAACAGATGACATTTAAAAAAAAAAAAAGTCTTCTTGGGGTGCCTGGGTGCCTCAGTCGGTTAAGTGTCTGACTTGGGCTCAAGTCATGATCTCATGGCTCATGAGTTCGAGCCCCACGTCAGGCTCTATGCTGACAGCTTGGAGCCTGGAGCCTGCTTCAGATTCTGTGTCTTTCTCTCTGCCCCTCCCACATTTAGGCTCTTCTCTTTCTCTCTCAAAAATAAATAAACATTAAATTTTTTTCCAAAAAATGTCTTTTCTATCAGCAAAGGAGTACGTTTTTAAAAATATGCCAATATTCCTCTATTAAATTCAAAGCTCACTAAGAATATATATTAAGAAATACAGATGGGTCAAAAATGTATGGTGTATCATAATTTATATACGAAAAAATTTTAAAGCCATTTCCAATAAGAGTATAGTAACAAAGTATGGGGACTTTCATACAATTAACTACTGAACAGTCATGTGATTACAGGCATATGTTATGACCCATTAATTTCATTACAAGGTAGATCCCTAACAGAAATGTGTGAACATAGGTTCAAAATCCGTAAGAAAGAGCTCATAACAGCACTATTCACGTGGACAAAAAAAACAACAACCAAAGTGTCCATTAATTGATGAGTGAATGAAATGTGGGCTATCCATACAACAGATGATTATTCAGTCATAAAAAGAAACGAAGGGCTGATACATGATATATCATTCATGGATGAACATTAGAAACATTATGTTAAGTGAAAGAAGATACCACAAGAGACCCCATGTTGTATAATCTCATTTACATGAAATATCCAAAATAGGCAAATCACAGACCTAGAAAGCAGGTGAGTGGTTGCCAGGAGTTGGAGTCAGGGAAGATTGGGGAACTATTACCAATTGTTTCAGGGTTTCTTTCTGAGATACAAAAATGTCCTATAAATGTATTGAAACTCTATAAATATACTGAAAATCACTGAATAATAAAATCAATAAATAGAAATAAGTCAGTCATTTTTACAAGTTTTCACACAAAACCACACATTTCAAACACATAATGGTGCATGGAATGTCCTTTATCACAGAGATAAACAAATGAAGCCAGAAGTATGTTACTTTTTCAATTGTACAATGTTTCACTATTGACTGGCCTCCCCGGACCCACAAACTCTTTATCTCAATGAACATTTTATAAGGGTCCACTTAGCAAAATCAAAGATTAGAAATAGAAACGGCAATGATTCTGTTAATATAAAAGCAATTTAAAGCTAAAGATGGAATAATTTATTACCATTATTCCTTAAGTAAATTATTATGATACACAATTTGCTTCAAAAATGTTAGTTTTAGCCACACATATAAGAATTTCTATTCAGTAGCTACAATAAAAAAAATAAGTGGAGAGAAAGAGCACTGAGGCTCAACATCTTTAAAAGGCAATAGTAATGAGCTTTTAAATTACACAGTCATTCATGTGGCAAAATTTTTACCTGTGAATTGTCTTACACAAGCAAGGTATCAAACTCCCCAATCACTTAAGTAAGCATTCTGAACATGCACTGGTACATACCTAATCGTACTTGTGATATTTGTTCAAAATGTTTGCAGAATCAGATATTAATATAAAAGCATCTTTAGAGAAGCAAAATTAATGAGGGATAAAATTGAAAAGGAGGCAAAACATGAGTATACATTCCTTACTTCACAGTCAAATAAGAGGCTGAATCAGGAAGCACAACACTGTCTTACATTATAGGTAACATATAACAGACTATAAGAGAATTATCAAAATTTTTATTGTAGGAAGTTTAGGGTTTTTTTTTTTTAGACAGGCTGATTATTGTTCCTATCATGTAAATCACGAGAAAGTGTAGGCAGAGAATAATGGCATACTGGCAACCAATCTAATTCTTCATAAAGGAATTTCTAAAAAGCTGCAAATAATACTTGATTTCCCACACCAATCTAAGCATTACATCTCATGTGTATATGACACTGCTTAGGAACATTAAAAAAGCATACTGCATCCGATTTTATTAAAAATGACAGCACTGTTACTGTATGAGTGAGATATAGGTCTTTCAACATACAAAATCGTATCTTACGAATAATAATAAGCACTTATAAAAAAGGAAATAAACTTAGAAAAGTTTGTATGCTTACCTGAACCACCCAGGGACTGTTGGCAAAGGCCATAATATCTCTCTCTTCCCAGAAAAAAGCAGAATCTGATCTTTTTATCATTTCAAACTTACTAAGAAGCTTCATAGCATAAACCTTCTGTGACGCCTTATGACGAACCTATAGGTTTTTTAAAACACAAAAATAACTTTATGAGAGAAAGGTGAACAACAGATCCTACTAGAATTCTATGATTAAAGCTTTCAAAGAAAAAAAAACAGGATAATTCAGATAAAAGAAGTATAATTCACCAGTAAGGTATAAAAATTCTAAATATATATGCATCTAATAAATAAGCTTTAAAATTCATCAATCGAAAAGTGACAGAACTAAAGGAATAGACAAATCCATAAACTTAAGTTGGAAATGTTAACATCCCCTCTCAATATTCAATAAGTAAGTAAACAAAATATCAATATGGATATAAAGAAAATTCAGCCCAGAATGAAAACTGTTTAATCAAGTTACAATTACAAAGGTTTTTGTATGAATAAGTTACATCACTTCTCATTTTAAAATATTTTAAAATCTGAAGAATTCTGGTACACTTTAATTTTACATAAAAAAGAATCTTATATGCAAAGGATCAAATTTATGATGAGGGCCACATGTTACATATATCTTCTATATTAAATTACTAAACTGGAAAAATAATTCCTTTTGAGTTACGACATTTATAGAACGCTGAAAATAAACACATGTGAAAGCAATATGAAAACATGGGTGGTAAGCACGGGGTTAGGGGACAGAGGATCCTAGTATGAAAATTAGAAATCTCTTCCACAGCAGATAGACCAGATTTTTAATTGATCTGTATCAAATTAACAAACTATCTCAAAACAAATTCCAACAATGCTGTTAAATGTAAAAAAAAAAAAAAAATGTTACAATATTATTAGAGGGGTGCCTGGATGGCTTAATCAGTTAAACATCCAACTCTTGATTTTGGCACAGGTCATGATCTCGCAGTTGGTGGAATCGAGCCCCATGCTGGGCTCTGAGCTGACAGTGTGGAGCTGCTTAGGATTCTCTCTCTCCCTCTCTTTCTGCCCCTCCTATACTCACTGTCTCTCAAAAACAAACAAATAAATAATCATTTAAAAAAATAAAATATTATTAGAAAGAGATTGCTAAGGTACTCATATATTTATGCCATTCTTCAAATCTTCATTTATTCTAAGAACAAATTAGATTTTGAAGATTTCCTAACTTCATCAGAAAAAGCAATCTATTAAACATTAGGGTCAATCACTTTATACCATGATATTACTTATGCTGGACTTGTATCATGAAAAGAGTTTTAAAAGTTTTGTAAAGCAAAACTATGACCAGAAACTAAGAGCTACTTGTCAGCTGACAGGAAATAGTTAAATATTTATTTTTAATGTTTTATACTTAACTAAACAAAAACAAACCAGGAACAAAAAGACCATTCAAGTACACAAAACTTTATACAACATAGGGGTAATTCTCTGAAGATGAGAAACATGCTTATTCACTTTATTTTTGCTGATTTTTTATGCAAAACTATTCCCTCTCTGTGCTTCCATAGCACTTACAACAATCTAATATTATAATCAGGTGTGCATGTGTCTGCTTCATAAGCTCCATTAGGCAGAGTATAAACTTCCATTTGTGGGGCTGTCTTGTGGTTGGCAAAATGCTGAATACACAATTCAACAGATTCAACAAAATTATATCTATTTTTATATTAAAGCTTTAAATTAAAAAAAAATTTTTTTAATGTTTATTGATTTTTGAGAGACAGACAGAGAGAGACAGAGAGAGAACATGAGTGGGGGAGGAACAGAAAGAGAGGGAGACTCAGAATCTGAAGCAGCCTCCAGGCTCTGAGGTGTCACCACAGAGCCCAATGCGGGGCTCGAACTCAAAAACTGCGAGATCTTGACCTGAGCCAAAGTCAGACATTTAGCCAACTGAGCCACCCAGTGGTCCCTGAAAGCTAGAAAATGTTTAATAAATAAAAACTATTTTGCCTAGATGCTCTAGTTGATGAGGCCTGAATTTCATTTAAATTACTGTGATAGAACACTTAACTGGCTCATAACACAAGAGTCAGGAACCACCAGTTTGTAGCCTTTGACTTGATCTATAGAACAAACAGTAAGAGGCAATAGTTGTATTCATGCCAAACAGCTATCTCATACTTTTAAAATTCATTAGCACTAGTATTACAAAGTACTACAATAAAGCGCTGTTACTTTAGGAAAGCTGGTTTCCACGGATCTTCCTTCTGAGGATGTCTCTTTCTGAATGATTCTATTATAATCCCCCTCAGCATCTCTGTACACTCCCCTCTGTTCCCCCTTTATTCAATATGGCTGGATAAACAGTCAGATATAGTAGCTATTCATTGCCACACTGTACCAAGTACTGCTTGAAAGCATGGATTTAGAGGTCGACAAACCTTTGCAAAAATCCCAACTAGTTATGAACTATGTGGCCAGCTTACTTAACCCCTCTAAGTTTCAATGACTTCATCTATGTAAGAATCTCACAGAACTGCTGCAAAGACAAAATGAGATTATGAATAGAAATAATTAGCATACAGAATATATTCTATGAAAATGGTAGCTGGCACTACCATAAGCAAACAGAACTTAGTTCACTCTATTATAAACCTTTACCTGACAGACAAAGAAGTTGTTCTTATTCCAATGTTTCCATTTGGTAGAGAAATGATGTTTATATTCCTCATTTCTAATTTCAAAACTAGTTAAGTGCAAAAGCACTATCTAAATGATTCTCGCTCTAATGCACTCCCTCTCTCCCTCTTTCTCTCTCTCTATAAAACACACTAAAAACAGGTGAAAGAGTTAACAGTGGTTTTATCTCAACTGACAGAATTCTAGGTGACTTCCATACTCTATTTGCTTATTTGCATTTTCTACAGCAAATATGTACTTCTTAAAAAAAATTTTTTAAGTAGGTGAAACACTCCTAAGTGTACTGGAGACAAGACATGTTTGGAAAATCCTAAAATGGACCTAGAAACCATGGAACACTTGTGGACAAAAGTCATTCTTTTTTTTTTTTTTTTAACATTTATTCATTTTTGAGAGAGAGAGAGAGAGAGAGAGAGAGCGCGCGAGCGCACAAGTGGGGGAGGGGCAGAGGAGAGAGAGGGAGACACAGAATTTGAAGCAGGCTCCAGGCTCCGAGCTGTCAGCACAGAGCCCAACATGGGTCTCAGACCCATGAACTGTCAGATCATGACCTGAACTAGGTCAGACGCTTAACCAACTGAGTCATCCAGGAGCCCCTCAAAAGTCATTCTTAACAAAATGCCCCATTTGAGGTTTTCAAACTGATTTTTCATATAAAAAATTACAACTGGGGCTCCTGGGTGGCTCAGTCAGTTAAGTGTCCAACTCTTGATTTCAGCTAAAGTCATTACCTCGCAGTTCATGGGCTCAAGCCCCACATTGCGCTCTGCACTGACAGTGCAAAGCCTGCCTGGGATTCCCTCTTCCTCAAAATAAATAATAAACTTTAAAAATCTATGTATCAATAATTATAATAGATTACTTTAATATGAGGATCCAGCTTGACAGACCCAGAGCAGTCAGTTTGTGTTGTAAAGTTTCCAATAAAAATGCAAGAAGAGTGTCTTCATGCTTTCTGTCTGGTCTGGCTGTGACAGCCACGACTGAATAAGGGAACACAGGAATTACAAAAACATGGAGGGAAGGAGATAATTCTTGCAACTCAGAAATAACCTTGTAACCAGCAAATTCACTCCAAAAAAGGAATTAAAAGTTTGAGTTAACGTGACAAGTGTTAGAAAATCATTTCCCTTATACTCTTTCCTTCTGGTTGATTCTGCTTTAAAAGCTTACTTTAAACCAAATAAATTAAAAGCAAGCCAGTGGGAAGGAAAAAAAAAAGATCCTCATCTCACATCTGCCCTGAGTCCTGTCACTGACAATCTGTATCCCCGCAGCACACTGGACCCCAGGAAGCCTCTCAGCCCAGGGATCATGAAAGATCACAGCAATTCACTTCAATAAAAACTTTCTATGTTTCACGTTCTGTGCTGTACAAGACAGAAAAGGCAGGGAAAATCCAATCACAAATGGGATCTGGCTGCACACACATACTGCCTACCAGTGTCTATGGCCGAACTGACAGATGGCCACATGGTGACGTTTCTCCCTTCTTCCTTGCTGCTCTACCCATATTCCTCCTCAACTGTGTACTTGACTAAAGATGATCTCCCCAGGTATAGGCAAACTATTTTAATATAAGCATCTACGAGTCCCAGGTGGGAATGCCAAATGTATTTGAAAGACACGACTCCTACTCTCAGAAAAATTTAGAATATAAAAGGATTCAAAAAACTTACATATAAACTATAGCACAAGGCATAGTATGTAAATTACATAAATTTATTAAATTAAAAGATGCAGAGGAAATATCATACTCAGATAAAGGACAGGAAGGAAAATAATAGGAAAAAATCTTCTTTTAAAATGAACACAGAGAAACACCGTGAAACATGATTGAAGAAAGAGACAAGAAAATAAGGAATATGCCCTGAAATGAGCAGCATGCCCAGAATGAATCGCATCATGGAAAAAAAGAATCCAAAGACAAAATTAGTGACATCTTAAATATGGGCCTAGAAGGCCAGGATGAAGACTTCATGATTCATTTAGTAGCTAAGGGAGCCATGAAATGCAAATGATGCAATAAATATATTTTAAAAAGATCAAATTGACAGCAGTTTATATTAGGCAAATCAGATCTGTATTTCCCATCTTTTATATATCTCAGAAAGAAAACAGAAAACATGTTAGAAAAGCCCCTAATTGATTCTACTGTATCCATACCCAAAATGGGGGTAAAGACAGGAGTGATACATGAAAATACAATATGAAGAATGGGGAAAGCAGTCAAACAGTAATGTAGGTCCAGCTGAGCCTGAATAGCATGAATTATAGATTTAATAAGCATGGTCTTGATAGTTTCTCCATCAGCACTTGCCAATCCCAAATCAACAGTACTGGGGCGACTGGGTGGCTCAGTCGGTTGAGCGTCCGACGTCGGCTCAGGTCATGATCTCGCGGTTCGTGAGTTCGAGCCCTGTGTCAGGCTCT